TAAGTTCTTGGCTAAGAAGTATAAATTCCTTACTTTTAACTATAATCTCAAGTTTAATAGAAATATTATTTATATAAATACTACTAGAATTACTTTTATATAGGAATACTAATATAAAAACCTCTAAATCGTTTTTACGAAAAATATTACTATTATAAATAATAGGGGTACTATTTATTAAAACCTTTCTATTAAAAACTAATATATTACCTAATATACTAGAGAAGTATATATTATATTAGTCTATTAACCAGAAGCTTTATATAACTTATTAATTATTACTTAAGCTATTAAACTCTCGGAAACTAATATAAAGATACTTAATAAGTATATTTAATAGCAAATTAAGAATATTACTAGAGAACTAAGATTTATAAAGCTAGTAAAGAAGTTTTTATACTTAATTATTTTTATAAATACTTTATTCGCAAATAATAAAAGTCTTTTCTCCTAAATTAGATATATTCTAGTTCTAGTAAATAGAACTAGATATACTAATATTATTTACTAGTTCTTTACTAAATATAAGAAAGTTACTAGAAATATTCTAGCTTCGGAACTTTATAATATGGCTTATGGTTTTAATATAGGCACTTTAGTTAAATCTATAATTAATAGAATACTAGAAATAGAACTATTACTAATCGTCTATACGAATTCGAAGTCATTATATAAATACCTCATTAAATTAGGTACTACTCGAGAGAAATGCCTAATAATTAATATAATATGCTTTTACTAGATATATGAATAATAAGAGATTATAGAAGTCAAGTAAATTAAAGGAAAATTAAATTCTACCGACTTTATAATGAAATTAAAGCTATTAAATGCCCTCAAGTGCCTTATTAATATAAATATAATATAATTAGATATAAAGGAATAAGTTAAATGCGAATAGAGTAAAATATAAATATATGAGATAAGAAAATATTATAGGAAAGGAAGTTATATATAAAAGGCCGCGGCTTTTAGTATATAACTAAAACCTTAAAAGTAATATAGATATATAAAGCATTTAGGAGATCTGGTACTAGGCCGGATCGGGGAATTTGCATATAATTAGAGGGGAGTACTATTTTCTGTTTTTTGTATTTTTTAGAGAGTTTCTAGTATTAGTATAGCTATTTCTTTGGGAGTCATATATATAATTACGGGATACGGGATACGGGATATAAGTAATAGGATATAAGTAATAGGATATAGGATACGAGATATAGTTATATGATCTTGTATCTCATTAGTAACTTAACTAGTAAACTAGATTCCTTTAGGCTTAGTAAATTTAGGGATTATATATTAATACTATAATACTATAATTTCTACTTCTAAATAATAACTTTACTAATCTTATATAAATAGCATTTCATAACTATATAATAGTATTATATATTACTAGTAAACTAATAATTATATATTATTTCTATATTTATTCTATATAACTTTAAATAAGTTATTATAATTTATATAATTAATATACTAATATTTTAGCTTTATTTTTATTTAATTTCTTTTTAGGTAAACTAGTTTTAATAAAAGAGTTTTAACCTAAAGAAATATAAGACTTATAGCTCTTTTTAGTTATAAATAGAAACTAGCTAATAGTTTTATATTAAAGTAAGGCTTATTAATAATTAATTATAATAATTTATTTATTTTAGTTATTTTAATAGTTATTAATATATAAATATAATTTCTAATTAAAATACTAATTAATAATCTTTATTTATTTATTTATTTAAAAGTAATTAGCTATTAAAAGCTTAAGCTTTATATTAATTCTTATATAAAATTCATTTTAGAAATTAAATATAAATTAGAATTCTTAATGTAATATAATTATTTCTAAAATATTTATTTAATATATTATATAAAATAAAAATAAAAATACTAGCTATTTAATTATAATTATATCTTATATAAAAATTATAATTAGATATTTAAATAAATAATTTATAAATATAATAATTATATTATAGCCTACTTTATTTTTCAAATAGCTTTTAAAATTAAAATTAATATATTATTAGAAGTAATTAGAAACCAAAAATAAATAAAATAAATTAGACTTTTTATTTTTAAATATATATAATCTTTTATAAATATAATAATTATAATATTAATTAATATTCTTATTTATAAATAACTAGTAATATTACTTTTTAAATAGCTAATAAAACTTTATATATTTAAAATATTTAGAAAGATATTTATTATATATTTTATAAATTAGAATAATATATAAAAGTAATCCGGGAATTATTTCATTTTTTATAATATAAAAAGAGGCCATTTTATAATATTTAAATATTATTTTTAGTTTAAACTATTATATATAGCTTTTCTAGATCTAATAATATATTATTATTTTATAGGATTTTATTTATTAATTATAAGCTATTATATTTAGTAAAAGCTTTTAATAATACTTTTATAAAAATAATTATAATAGAAGCTATTAGTAAAGCTTCTAGAATTTTAATTTTTTTTAGGAAAATTATATTTCTAATAAAAGTAGAAATCTTAGGAAAGTTTTTAGTATATATTTAGTTTTTAGAGCCAAATTTCGAATTAAATAAACTAATTTTATAAAGTATTATTATAAGTTATAAATTATAAATAATTTCTAAATTAATCTTATTTTTAGAGAAAAATATTTGAGTTTATAGCTTTTTTTTTAATCTGCCCCTAAATATTTATTTTATTTTCTAAAATAATATATAAGCTTAAAATAATAATAAAATAAAAGCTTAATTTATTTAGCTTATTAAAAAAAAAAAGCTTTTTAGTAATTATAAAATATTATAAAATATAATAATTAGAATAAACTTTAAAAAAAAATTTCTAAAAGCCTTTTAGTTTAGCTTTTTATTTTTTTAATATTTATATTATAATTAAGCTTTATTAGAAATATAGTTTTAGAAAAATAAGTTATAGAATATTAAAGATCTATTTCCGGATTTTATTAAAAAAAATAAGCTAGTAGTTTTTTTTAAATATATTTATTTCTATTATTATAAATAAATCTAAATTATAATATTATAAAACCGGAATAGAAATTATAGTTTCTTTTAGGTAATTAAAAGCCTTTTAATATTATTTAAATTATTTAACGAAAATACTCTTTTTTATAAATAAGATAAAAGATTTAATAATTTATTTATAAAAGTTATAAAAGCCGAAAAAGAATTATATATTTTTAATTATTTTAAGAAATTACTAGTTATATATTATTTCGATTTTATTAGAGTTTATTTTAATATTAAATATAGAAATAATAAAGCTCAAGTATTTTATATATATAATTTTAAATTCTAATTTTTTAATATTTATTTAAAAGCTAGTATAATATAAATAATTTAGTATTTTTTATATATATTATTTATATTCGATTAAATTCTTTAAATAAATAAAAATATTATTAAAATATATTATATAAAAGTTATTTAAATATTTAAAAAGTATATTATTTATAAAGTCTTTTTAGAAAATATTATTAGCTTCTAAAAGTCTAGATCTATAGCTATATAATAGAAAGTTTAATAAATATCTAATTTAATATAAATCTTAGCTTTAGATAATTAATTTAAAGTTTTATTAATAAATAAGAAAAGATATAAATTCTTTCGGATAATATTATTTAAATAATAGAAATTAATATAAAAATATAAACCTCTATTTGCTTTTTTTATAAATAGAATTAGTAAAATAAAAAGAGTTTAATTAGTTTTAATATAGTATTTAATTAGATTATTTTTAAGAAATATTTGATTTCCAGAAGCTTTTAAATAAATTATTACTAAAAAAGTTAATATCTAATATTTTTAGTTTCTTTTAGGCCTTTAATCTAAATTTTGTAATTATATAATTTATAAAAAGAAAAGATATTAGATTTTTATTACAAATAGTAAGAAATAGTAATTTGTATAAGTAATTATCTGATTAAAAGAAGCTCTAAAGGGAGCCTCTGGATCTAGCTAAATAAAAGGGGCCACTGAGTAAGCGAAGCTAAGCTCCCTAGTACCCGTATATATAACAATTTTGTTTTTAGAAAAAATAAAAATAAAAAATTTAAATTCCGGAAATAATATTCTTTAAAATTACAAAAGCTTTATTTCTTCTAGTTATTAATTCTCTAAGCCAGAAATAGTTTCCTTTTTCGAATATTAAGTTCTTTATTAATCTTATAAATAGAAATTTAACTAGTAATATTATTTTCTCTTTTAATTATATAATTAAATACTATAAAAATAAAAATAGCTAGATCTAATATTTGCTTTTTATTAAAGATCTTTTTCTGTTTTTTTGGCTTTTATTTAAATATTATATTTTAGTTAGGCTATAAAAGCCTCTTTTCTATAGTTTTATATAATTAATTTAATTCTTTAATTATAAAAGCTTATATATTAATCGAATTTAATATTATATAATAAACTTTATATCTTCTTTTAGTTAGCTAGTTACTTCTTACCTTATTAATAAGTATTATCTTACCTTTATATCTTATATCTTTGGTTTTACTTTATTAATTTAATCTTAAAGGGTTTTGTATATAATTCTATACTCTCTTATATATTTTCTAATGAATTTAGTCTTCCTATAATCGAGATATTATTATAAGCTATTTATAATTATATGCTCTCTAAGAGCTTATTAGGATTATTCGCGAATTTGGTATAGTGATTTTTCTTTACGGACATATTGAGGGGCTAAAAAGGCTTTAGAAAATAGTTGATTTAATAGTAAAATATTATGTGGGTGTTGAATTACGATTTTTGGAAAACAGCGATTTTGGGCGGTTGGGTGGTCTGGGCGGTTGGCCAGTGAAACCTTCTACTGATTGGCCAATGTAAGCCTATGCCCTTCTCGGCTCAATGCGGCCGGCACCAACCAACAGAATAGTAATACGGAGTTCGAATTGAGCGGGCGGTTGGAGTTGACCCCCTAGTTCAATCGCCCAACCAACTCCAACACTTATCGGTTTCTGATGGGTGATTCTAAGCTTGTCCAGTGAGGTCTCGGAACGGAGATAAATTTCCTCGTTTTCACTGTTCCAATTTTGTTGCAAGTCTCAGGGCCCGTCGCAGTGCCGTCGCAATGCGATCGTGTACGTACACATTTCTGGGGTTGGGCCCTGTCCGTTATACACAAGAAGAATGGCCCGCCAAATCACTCGTTATAGTAGGAGGTCGAGGAAATCAGGGAGGAATCCACATAGACCGCCGCCGAAGACGACCTGTCCGGGATACGCGTCGGTTCAAACGTATGGAGCTAGGTTGGGAAGGGACTGATCCGTACCGCAAGGCAGTCGGGTCTTTGGCAAGGGGAGAGAGACAGTCAATGTTAAGACGTTTTCGCAGTTTCTACTCTACCACAATTATTCCGTTCACAACATCATCATACGGAGGTGCAGTGCGAGCTGGCCGGTATCATTGATTGGAAGCTCGCTGGATTCTATCCAGCTTCCTATGTGTTGAGTCTGTAAGATACATACCTGAGCGGCGCCAATCGACATGTATCACTCTACTTGCTATTAAAAGAATACATGAAAAATTTCGTACCACGATCTTTATTACAGATTGTGCCATCCAAGTATGCGGATCCACCGGCCTATTATTGCGCTAGCTTTGCCATAACAGTTATCCCGTTTCAGGAGAGCCACATCCCAAGGCCTCGAGACCTTCACTTGTGCGTTTCTGTTTATTCCTCCATACGAATTTATAATTCTCTACGATTGCTTTATTGCTATACAAGGCCCGCAATATCATATCTGCATATGCCGAAACGGCCTGTAATATGTGAGGCACGTTTCGCATAGCGACTTGCCATTAATGAACCACAGTTAATATAAATAACTTTAATAAGCCCAATATCGCACTCTTTGACCCCGATTCAGCCGCTAAGTCGAGGTTTTTGAGCGCCTTCGTAAATAAGTCTCGGAACTGGGTTATAACTATCTTTATATTATTTAAGGCCAAGCCAGGAATTATAATTTCATATCACGCTATAAATACCTTTACTAAAATAATATGCGCATTGGTTTAATTAATAATTCCGGTAATATATTATATTAATAAGGGAATAATATTTATTAGAGTCAAGTATAATTCGAATTATTATAATTAAATATTCTAGTATTATATATAAAGCAAATTATTTATATTATATTTAATATCTAAGAAATATTTACTAGAAATCTTAAATAATCTAATATTATAAAGCCTAAATTCGCGATTTTGAGCTTTAAATTATAATAAAAATATAATATAAAAATTATTATTAGATTCGAATCTATTTTGAATCTGGCTAATTTAATTAAATATAATTTGACTAAGCTTATATTAAATATCTTATTAATTAGTTAATAACTTTGAGTTTATATTATTTCGAAATAAAAAATATAAATTTCTTATTAAAAGTTTATTTTAAAAAAAAACCTAATATAAATATAAATAAAAAATCAAATTAATTCTCGATTTAATAATACTAGTATTAATATTTTAATAATTATTTATAAAATATAAAATATATTAATAATATATAATATTATTATATATTTATAAAATATAAAATATATTAATAATATATAATATTATTATATATTTATAAAATATTAATTATATAAAATTAATAAAGTAGTTAATATTTAGAAATAAGAATTATAATATTATAATAATAATATATAATTCCTGAATTTACTAGGCCTAATAAGATCTAGTTTTTTAATTAATTTATTTATAAAATACAAGAATATATAATTATATTTTATATCTTATTATTTATTACTTATATTATATTATATTTATATTTAATTATATTTATATTTAATTATATTTATATTTAATTATATTTATATTTAATAAAAGTATATTATATTAATTATTAGATATTTCTTTTAAGTAATACTTAATTTAATAAAGCATTTATATAAGAACTTTAAATTCATATAAATAACTAGTAATAAATTTATTTCTAGTATTTTATTAATTATAAATTTAATAAAAATACTGATATTAAAATTATAAGTTATATTATAAAGTTTTAAAGCTAGAATACTTCTAGTAATTCTTTTATATTTAATATAAAACTAATAAATAAAGTATTTATAAAAATAATTAAATATAAAAACTTATTTATTAGCTTTATAAAATATAATTCTTTAATAATATTTAATTAATTATTAAATATACTTATTAAATGCTTTCATATTAGTTTTTAATAATTTAATAACTTAGGTAATAATTAAGAAGTTTTATATAGCTTCTAATTAATAAACTAATATAATATATTTTTTTCTAATATTTTTTTAATATATTAGTTTTTAATAAAGAGATTTTAATATATAATACTTTTATTACTTATTATAATAATATTTATAATTAATATAATTCGAAGGTTTTTATATTAATATTTTTATATAAAAGAAATTCTAGTAATTTTTATATAAATAATATTTTTTTTAAACTTAAAATTATAATTAAAAGTAAAGTATTTATATTTCTTAAAGCTTTAATTAATTTGCTTTTTTAAAATTATTATTTCTAATAAATAAAGTATTACTAATTTAAAAGCTAATAATATTAAAGAATTACTTATTACAAATTAATTGTTTTATAGAAAGATTATTAATATAATAAAAGTAATAAGTCTTAAACTAATAGTTCTCGGCTTTTAATATATTATATAATAATTTTATAACTTTTAAAGTAAAATTATTCTTTAAATTTAATTATTTAATAAGCTTATAAAATGAATTAATATAAAAATTGTAATTAAATATAAACTTAAAAAATATTTTATAAATATAATTCTATAATATTTATTATTATTATAATAATATTAAAAATAATTCTCTAGCTAATATATTAAATAATAAGTAATTAAATTAATATAATATACTTTTATTTATTATTATAAGCTCAAATAATAAGTTTTAACTTTTTTAGTATTTTTTTTAATATTTGAAATCTAAAAATAATTTCAAATATATATATATATATTTAGAAATCTAATAATTTTGATTTAATAAAAGTTCTTATATTAAATATTATAATATTCGGGTTTTTATAAGATTATTCTTTATTATATTTTAATAAAGAAATATTTGTACTTCTTTTATTATAGCCGGCTTTAAATTACTTAAAGTTAGAATTATTAGAATTAATTTAAATTTTAAAAATATTATAAAGCTTAATAAAAGTCAAGTAAAAAATAATAATATTATATAATAAGGCTAATATATAATTCTTTCTAATTACTAGTTTAATTAATATTCTTTTTATATTATATAAGAATATTCGAATTTAAGGAAAGTTTATTTCCCTCTACTTAGACATGTTTTTAATGCGTTGAGTTGTGAGAATTCAAAGGGCGAAAAAGGGAGATTTTTAGTGGGGTATCACCAAAATCTCAGATTTGCGTATTGGTGTGCTTTACGTATTGCATTCCCTCACCTGGTAGGCGTGCTAAGGGTGGGGAAGCGCCGAACGATTAGAGCGGGATATGTCTCACCAAGACAAAGGAATACGCCTGCTACACCGCCAACTCTCGGCGCACGTCGTCTCATCAAACCGAGCGCCCGGCTTTGCAGTTACTCCGGGCGCTCAGCTATCCTGTGTTTCGGGCCGTCCGTATCTCGGGTCGCGTAGATCACACCCCCCTGATTGCTTTGACCACACGGGATACCGCGGGCGACACCCCTACAATGCCAGCCTCATTCGAAATGGTGAGAGAATGCTGTAAAATAACGAAGTATAAGGTCAAAATTGTAGAGTAGAAAATGATCTTAAAGTTATGGCTAGCGTTGCAAATCATTCATTGTTTGAAATTTTTGAAATTTGCAATGCATAAAAGTTGCGGATTCACTCCCATAGACAGCTGAACTCTAGAAGCTATCACGAAAGTGGAAATCTTGCTGCAAATCAGACACTTTCACAGTAGCGCTTACGGAGTATGCAGCCACACACAGGTGATACAACGAGCCTCTTGGCGCGTAAAAAAATTATAGAATAGGGGGAAAACCGAACGCAAACAAGGGCGGAGTATTCTTGAAGGGATATCCTGGTTGAGGAAATACGCTCTTTCTTTAAACAGCAGAGTCCACCGCTTTGTTTTGGTTGCCTACCTCCTGAATGAACTATTTCAGTCTATTTTGCAAGGAAGAAATCCTGCGCTACCACATGTCAAGTGAACGTAAAGGCCAGTGCTGCCCTTGTTCGTCCGAGTCGTCGAATATAAGCATAGCTTCTAGCAGCATTTAAACTTCGCCTTCTCCTCTCCATTTATTAGAAGTTCATAAGTCGAAGTTCGATCGGATCCACGCAAGAAGACAGCTACATTACTCAATCTTTCAGGGAAAAAATGAAGCTGTGGCATATATCAAATATCTCTCCAATCTTGGCGATATTTTCCATCCAAATCTCTGGCTCAATCTCCCAAACCATTGTCACGGGACAGAGTATGCGGTACATCAGCTTCTCTCCCACCTCCTCGCTCCCAGGAAATGTATCAGCAACATCTCATGGCCTGCTTGGCAGACAGCTGGAGTGCCCCGTTAGCACCGAAACGCTATGTTCTGGTATGTGTCGCCTCCATCTTCCCACTCTTGGAGATTAGATTCTAGAACAAATCACTGATTCATTCTTAAGGTACCTCGTTCTGCTGCGATTTCACCGAACAATGTTGCAGCGATTCCTGTGCCCCACTAAGCGCTGTGTGTTGCTCGGACGGACTTTCTTATTGCACGAGCGGTGAATACTGTTGTGGGGATGGCAGGTGCGCTCTTGAAGGGGGGGTGTGCTGCTCAGATGGCTTCGGATCTTGTCTCGCTGGACAGATTTGCATTCCGAACGGCAACTGCCAAGATTCTTCCGGTTTAGGAGTCGGAGTTCCATTCAAGATGTTGCATCTTGTTGTTGCTACATCTCTTGCAATGGTCTTAATCATGTAGGATATGTGTTGTGGATTCAAGAGCGACCTGGAGGTGGAGAAATTGACAATCCCTTGTTAAGTTCAATGGAGGACATTATGACCCAAAGGCAAGAGTTTTGTCAGGGCTGAGAGAGACTATTGAGAATTATTAAGGGTCAGAATGATTTCCAGTTGTTTGTAATATATGATCATGAATTCAGTCGAAGTAGATAATGTTCACACGATATCCTACAAGCCAAGCCAATTTTCAACTGCCTTCCTTTTACTCTTGTCATACTTAACCCCCCAGCCATTGGTTTTGCAACAGCACATGTGATACATTTGGCTTCCACAGCAGCGGCTCTAGCTTCAACCTCAGCCGCGGCTTCAGCAGCTTGAACTTCTTCCAAAAGCCTATTTGGAACCCATTTACCACTCCTCTTTCTCTCTGTTTCTTCCCATTGCCTGTTTTCCTTGAGAGAAAGAGCCATTTTTTCACTTCACCTAACAATTCGTCCATGTTATCAACTTCGTCATCTGGGATGAGTCCTGTATTTCGTCCACCACCGTCTACAGATCCAGCACTTTCACAATTTGGGCCTCCGTCTTGCCAGATTTCTGACCCACCCGCTGTTTATATATTACACTTGATGACTTCCGCTTTCGTGCTCGAGGTTGCGGTAGCTCAAGATTTTTTTTAAAAAAATGGGGGGGGGGGGTGGACTAGCCCTTTGGACCTTTGGAAGGAGGACGAGACACTGTTTAACTGAGTTATTCTCTTTTCATTGTATTGGTCTTGCGTACTTACAAAGATTTTATATTGGTATATGAAATTCAGATGTTCGTCGTGCAATCGAGCTCCCAGGTCATACGCTAAAAACTGTACTAGAGAAAAGAATTGGAGAGCCCAACAACAAATCATGTTCTTGATTGAAGCCCGTCTATTCAATACAACTTATTCCATCAAGCGTCTTAGCTCTCTTGAGATGACGAATGAGGTCTAGAAAATTGAGTCCCCAATGCCCTGTAGCCCTTACGAGCGTGTTATAAGATGTCACAAATATTCAGATGAGCGGTAGGAGGGTCTCATTTGATTCAAACTAAATAAGAAAATCCCCATGGACCGGAAAACGTATTACAGCTTAACCCCTACCAATCTAAGCACTCTCAACTCTACCCTCTTCTTTAAGTTTGGATCTGAGTATTCTTTGTTTATCGAGTCATCCAGGGCGGATGAATCGCTGGGGCATGGCAATCACCGCAGCGTTCATCCAGTCTGCGTTCCTTGTTAAGTGTAATAGATACTGCGAATTGATTCAACGAACCTAAACTCGATTGCCATAACACTTGGGGGGCAGCGTTTATGGGTATTCTCGTAGTTCTGACACCATGCTGAACTGTGTAGCGGACATAGCAGCAACGGAATTCAACTTGTGTGTAGTCGCACATAGTATGGATACGGAGTTGAGTTGTTGGATTTGGAGTTTTTATTTGAAACAGGCGGGACTGAAGGAGGGGGATAGGGTCTGAGAAGCTCAAAGTCGAAAGTTGATGTTGAAAAGCTTTTCGGGAAGTGTGACTAGTGACGAGGGGGTTCTAGGGGGTCTCCCCCTGAGATCAAAACAAGAGAGAGCGTATACAGTAGAAGGCGAATTGGGCGTCGCTAGTTTTTTAGTTAATTATTTTTAGCGGGATCTATTTCTAGACACTTGTAGCTGAGCACTTTTGCCCGGTTGTACTTCAAATGTACCGCTGCTAACCGCAGAGCGGAGCGAGGGGCAGAATTGGCGGTTTATCTCACCACCATCTTGCCCGCCCCATTACTCCTCCAGTCTTTCCTTCCTCTTCTTCTAATCCCGCCAGAGTCAGCGTTCTCGTGTCAGCGAACATGGCGCCGTAACTGAATGCTATACAGTATTTTTTTGATCAAGACTTTGCTAAAAGAAGGGCTCGAGACCAAGCTAATAGCCACAGAAGCCGCGTGCTCCATGTGCGCCGTCCAGAGAGTCCATCGAAAGAGACAGTAGTTCTAAATGCCCACCCCAAGAACAAGCCGCGTCTTCGGATACTCCTTAGGAAGTTCTCGTAGAGGTGTCACACTTCGGTTGTCACTACAATCCCTTCGCTTGCTTGCCAAAAGCAAAGCACTATAGGGTTATGTTATTAAAGTCAAGCAATCTACCTTACTTCGAACTGCTGGAGTGGAGAAGGTGGATGATTCCAGTCCACAATAAGGCCTCCGTACATGGCTCCATGAACTGAGCCGATAGATGTCAGTATGTATTTAAGGAGATATATTGTGAACATGGTCCACTCACCATAGGCTTCTCCAATCATCAAAAAATAATCATCTTTCTTCCTTAAAATTAAAGGAACCCACCCTCCTTTAACGATACAAATCAAGTCTCCCTCTTCGGTTTCCCTTGGCACTAATCCCATATAGCCCTTCTTGCTCGTCATGAAAATTCTCATGAAATATAGCCATGCTTGCCAGTTGAGGAGGATTTCGTGTATAGAGTCATTGATATGGACATCGACTTGCACTTGATCAATGAAAATCGTTCGAGTGAACGCAATTTTGATGGTCTCTCCGGTGACATAGTATGTGCCTCTTTCATCTGCGATGCGCTGCCAGTTTTCAAGGAACTTGCTGGTCACTGGAGTGACGCGAAGCACAGGAGCACTCAGGCGGCCCACGACATCGACACAAATGCCCAGGAGGCTGATTCTTAGACAATCAGGCGAGTAAGTAATATATGGCGTTGTGTCCTTGAGGCCAGAAGCGTAGAAAAGTGCTTCAGGTGTCTTGATGGCTGCCAGTCTAGAATCATCACAAATCCTTTGCCTCATTTCCCGTAATGGCCTAGCTGGAAAATATCCTTGACTTGCCCAGTCTGTAGCCCAGGTAGGGGTACCAGTCACCGAGCCAGCAGTGGGTCCTGAACACCACATCAAGGCATCGAGGCTGCCTGAGCGAGTAACCAAGTCTTTAATAACCATCCCATACACAGTCTCTGTCTTCAAGGAGTAATCTGGAACTAGGGCATCCGGATGAGAATCTCGTGCCAACCCAAGCAAGGCATATACTTTATCTCTTGGATCAGTGGCCCCAGAACCCCAGAAGAGGTAGAGTAAGTCTTTCAAATCTATTCCTTGATCCTTATACCATTTACTAGCAACTGCTACTGCCCTAGCTTGGAGAATAACGGTGTTTATAGGTTCCCAGGCTTTGCGAGTTTCTTCGTCGTCATTATTATGGACCAGATATGCGGTGTAATTCTCCAATACATCTATAGCATGCGTGCAAGATCCCCAGTCAAAGGTATGGGATCCCCAAACAACCAAGACATTCCTCGCAACGGCTACTTCTTGTGCAACCCAGACTCGCGTCCACCACGGTATTGAACAAAATCGAGTAATCAACATATGAGTGCCAGGAACACCACAGATGGAATGAGCAGGATGGTCATTGATATTCATTCGAGTGAAGACAGCGTGGATGTTCGGAAGCGAATCCTCATCAATCGAATCTATGTGTCTAATAAATTCCACGATTTCGTGGTTAGGTTCTTGCCCAGGACCAAGAAAGACGATAGTTCAGGATGCGTTCTCAAAGGTCGATTTCATTCGGATAACTTGTGAGGACTTTTCGGCATCGTCGGCTTGGTTGATGCAAAGCGCGTCGATCCAGAGTGTGCGTGAAGTGGGCGAATCTCGAAGACAGTGTAGTGCATCTGAGAGATTTTGCGAAATGGGAAAGCGATATTGTTCTCCGTTGTTGCTCAGGATAATAACCGAATGTGTTGGGCCTGATGTTCCCCAGACATATGACAAGCCTTCGTATGTAGGACAGTCATTTGGCAAAGCATGACGAAGCCTGCAAAATATTTTGTCTGCTCCTTTGCCGGGGAGAATTTCTAGTAGACGAATCTCGTCTGCAGCTAATGGCTCATAGACGAAGAGGGGTAGCCCAGTCTCCGATACCATTTCTAATGGTTCGAAACGGTATCACCGGATAAAGCCGATTAGTAACTTGGAGCGGAGTCTTCTTCCTAAGTTAAGGAATTTCGACGTAGGGTTTGATACTAAAGGGTCTGAGTGTTGAGGGTTGATGTTGGAGTGATTATGATATAGGAGTTGGATGTTGAAGGAGCAATGTCAGGCAGAAAATGTGCAGGTCCACTTTGTGCCACGCTAACCACGTGAGGTACCACTTGAAAGGGGTACCCCCTTCCCGCTCAACTTGGATTTTGGAGACCTTAATACTATAAATTTGAAGAATTAATGCGATATTCGCAGTACTTCGAGTATTCTCTACAACCTGGAAGGTTTTTAGAATTTTCCCAAGACTTTGAAAAATCGAGAAAATTTTGGTGGGGTAGGCGTAGGCGGGAAGGGGAGGGGGTTTGGGCAGTTGGTGGATGAACCCTTAGAAGCGTACACGGGCCAACCGCCCAAAGTCCAAACTCCCCACAACAACGAAGAAAATCGAGAAAGGCCTATATTCGTAATTAGCGGCCCATTTATAGTTAGCTATGACCTTTTGGGAAATTTCCCTGCACTTTCCAAAAATTACAAATTTTTCGTTGGGCGGTTGGCCCGTGTACGCTTCTACCCTTCTACATCTGAGCTGTCTAAGGCCCTGTTTCGCACGGACGCACGTCTTTTGATTGCTAGCATCCGCCAATAACCAAATACTAGCGTTCAATACTCAGTATTCAAAGCTGGTATTCATATAATTTAGAGGTGTTTCGCAAAATGCAAATACTCAATAACTATTGCAATTACGGAAGTTTCAGAATAATCTCCGGTAATCTTAAATCTCAAGGCTTACTTTTCTTTAGTAATTATTCCCTATAATTATAGGGTATTATAGCCTAATAATTATTTCTCTCCTAAGGCAAAAGTAATTAATTAATTAATTATTTTACTATAGCTTTCCTATCAAGAAAGAATTTATAATAAAAATTATACGAGAAGCGTAATATTTATATAATAATTAAAATATTATACCTTAAGAAGCGCTATAAAGGTAGTTGGAAAGGACAAAAGCCAGTATCCAAATACTCAGTTTTTTCAGAACCACCTATGGTAGGTGGTTCTGAAAAAACTGCGATTTGTATGGGAGCAAATACTGGTAATCGAATACCAGTGTTTGGTTGCTAGCATACAAAAATTTACGAAATACTAAAATTCCTAATAATCGAAAGCTAGTGTTCGATTGCTGACCAAATGCTAGCATTCAAAAGTTGCGAAACAGGGCCTAACTCGTAAGAGGGGCCGGGCCGCAGCTCCCTCGTTCCAAGGGGCTGGCTGCATCACTAATCGTACGTCCCTGCGGGTTTAGTGCGCATCAGCGATACGGTCAAAAATCAGCGATATTGTCATTTTTTTACCATTATATCGATTTTAATTAATTAAATATCAACACCATGGCCAAATTCGACCCAGAAGAAGAGAAAAGGATGGCCCAGGCCTCCGATTTCTATGCCAGGGATCCACACGTCAAAAAAATCTGCGATTGCGCGTTAATTCAGGGTCAAATTATGCCTCTGGAAAGCGCGTCTCGCTGACCGCAGGCTTGGCGATGATCCTGGAACGATCCGTATCGTTCCTAAGCGAGATTGTACCTTAGGCCTCAAACTGCCCTATAATTATAGGGAGCTTATAGCGTACTTCCATTTAGACTTATAAATAACTTTATTACTACTAATCGTATAAAAAAAAATTAGTTATGTAATTACTCTATTTAATCCTAGCTTTCCATTTATATTATATATAGGAAATTTAGATTTAAGCTTATCTCGATGCGGCAAAAAGAAGTGTTTTGAGTTTTCGTGAGGCTCGTTTAATTAGGAAGTACCTCCTATACAAATCTACTATGTAAGGTACTTTGCCCTGGATCGTTCCAACCGTTCCAGGATCATCGCCAAGCCTGGCTGACCGATTACCACAAAACACCAAAGGGGGCCTCAATAAAGCCCTTGATCCTGATCAGGAGGGGGCCCTGAAGCAGTTCATCGATTTCCTGATCTATTTAGGCCATAAAGCTGATCTCAAGACGTTTCGGGCGGCGGCAAACAAGATTCTGGCAGAGAGCGTGTCCACCCACCAGGCGACGCATATTTGCGCACAATGATAAATGCAGCTTGGTTTTGTCAAGCCACTTCCCCCTTCCCCCTTCCCCCTTCCCCCTTCATTTTATAGTAATGGCTTTGGTAATATAGTTAGATTAGATGCTAATGGGAAGGAGACAATTATTGGGTATACGAATTAGGACGTGGTGATTGTGTAATTAATTGATTTGTTAGAATCGTAGCTACTTTAATTTACTTTTCAAGCCTAGAGTTAAGCTTTATAATACTTATAATACTTAAGAAATTTATAAGTTTTTACTTTTATATAATAACTATAATTAATTATAGTTCTAATTAAATCGAATCAAGCTAAAATTAAGCTAATCAAATTATAATTAGTTATAATTAATTCTACTTAATTCTAATTATTTAGCTTTAATTATTTTTTGACGCACTGCCCAGGCTTAAGAAATGGTTGATTGCCTTCCATAAGAAACCTGTAGCCGACGTTCCCTCGAAGCCACTCTCCAGAGTAACACGATTCTTTTCTGTTTAGGGGACATTGACGTAAGATTTATAAGATTACAAGAGCTTCCATAGCGAATTCTGGAGGTGCAGTATCTCCATCTTGTTCCACATCCTTCCCATCGTCGATATTTCACGACTGTAGCACTATAAAACGCAAAACGCAGGCCCCAGAAAACAAAGGTCCAAGCCTCGGGTTCCCGTGGCATTTCATTCAATGTCGATCAAGAAATAAGCAGACCAGATCGACATTGGTGAGCGCAACAAAGTCACCACCCCCTGCAGATCCTCGGACCCGCCAAAACCAATGCTTTGCTCTAAAGCCAGATCATGAGGCTGAGTTGAGAGCAAACCTCAGTTGCCCAACTGACGTCAAAAATATCTTGCTGAAGCTAGCAGGTGAAATATCCCGCAAAGGATGAGCATCTAACAAGAACTTTCTATTAAAAAAGCAGTCCAGTGGGGTAGGTACTAGGTACAGTACGATATCAGCCGCCATCACCAGCTTCAGAACTTTTGGCCTTTTCGACTCAATTTCGATGCAAACCCAGGAGCCGCCTTTAGGCAGCCTCTTCCTTTCCATTTACCCTTATTTGTTCGGTACGGCTCTAATAAATCCACGGACCCGCGGGACAAGGTATCGGCCATATTTACATATCAAACCTTGGCTATATTTCGCATCCAAGTCTTCTTGTCGGCTATTTTCGAGGCTGTAACATGTTTATAAAGGCGTGGCGAAAGTCAATGTTGAACTGATAAGGAGAATTGATGTAATCTGTTTCAGCTACAATATTATCGAGGAACATGATGAGAGGCAAGATACTGCATCGATTTACCTTCATTCCTGGGTACTAACTTGCTCAGAGATTCTCCCCTTGAATCGGTGAATTACATTACTGAAATTAAGCCAAATGTCAGGGCTGCTGCGGCATCGTCTGTTGAAGCACAATTCTCTGCTCGTGGATCCTTCTTGATTATGAAAGCGATCCGCATAGCAAGCCCGCGATTCTGGGGATGCCCCTACACCCCCGCCTCTAGGAGCCGTCCTGGCCCTCTTGAGCTTGATTACGATGAGTGTCTTAGGGTCGTTCGAATAGATGGTTTCCGCCATGTTAGAATTACAAATTCCTGGAATCTAGAGTTATAAATATAAATGGGTTGAAGGCGAAATTGTGGAAAATTGTACACTCCCTTCGATTAGAGTGTTGAGGTACTTTTCGATCTAATTTGACTTTGGGGGGGATTGTAGCTCGTGAAATAATACCAGATAATTAAGATAATTCTGCACATACGCCAACAGGCAGCAAATTCATGATCAGGCGTATTGCCTGTCGCTCGGACGTGATGATAAATGTGGCTCTGAATATCATTCTTAGCATTTGCAGTTGCGAACCGCACTCAAGATTAAGAATCTTAACACAGGACACCAATGACCTTCTTCAACTGGTCAGAATCAACAGCTTGCAGCTCGTCCAAATTGTCCACCCTTTCAAAGCTATAGGTGACATCCGTCCGCTTTTCCAAATTCTTCTTCAACATGGCACCGCTGAACACGACGGAAAAGCCATTCGCAGCCATGTGAAACATTTCAGCCCCAGCCAGATCTAAGCTAGATCTCAAAACGAGGTTCGATCGAATAGCTCCACTGCGGCCTTGGAAAACCAAAATGTAGGCCAGCTCTGGAGCTCCTGATTGCTCTCCGTCCCCGCCTCCTAGCAGAGATCCGGGCTGGAGTCTACAAAGTCCCTGACTGACATGGATCTTGGGGACTTTCCACGGCTCATCTGCATGCCCGAAAGTTGTAGTTCTCGTAGATCCCGTCCCTCCCGGGCCTCTCGGCCCCGAGTTCAAAAAGTGCATCCAGACGTCGCTGTGCCCGCATCTCAGTAGTGGGACATGCTGGTCCAAGTCGTCTTGATCGAAATTGTAGCTGACAATGATAATGGGAAGATTGCCGAACTCGGGAATGACCGATGGTATTTCGCTTCCGTCTCCTGCTCGAGTGAGAAGACCATGGCTTGAGCGGACGTTGTTTAAGCCCATAGTGATGAGGAATGATAGTTAAGTGCGTGGGTAGATAAGGGTGTGAATATTTTGGTAGGGCTTTATTGAGTGATAGTAGAGTCGATAGACGTAACATTCACACCAGTCTACCGTTTCGTTATATATATTTAAAGTTAAATGATAAGACTCAGCGTTGATGGTCAGCCTGTTAAGTGACCTGCCACAAGCGTATGGAGCTGCACTTGCGAAGCCATGATTCCAAGCCGTAGGTGGTCGTGATAGCCTGAGCGGGAATGTGGCTATCATTCTTGGGCTCAATTTTCCGGAAACGGCTTGACATGCAGCTTGCATGGCAAGTGCCGAGTTGCTGCATAGTCGCTCATTCGTGAACGTTTCGTAGCTTGCAGAATTTTGAGCCCACGAACATGGGGGGTCCACAAACGCCACCTTGCCGCTGTATGCTTCGCCCGCCATTCGGCGAGAGCTCAGGCTCGCCCACTTTTAAGAAGTCGATAAAGCTTTTGTCATCTCGCGCCCTTGCCTTTCTCCAATACTCGAATACATACTCTGGCCATTCTGACGTTCTCTTACCTCTGGATGGTTTTTACCCTCCAAGTACTTTCTATATCCACATTCAAGGAGCTGGTCTCCGTCGTTCCTTCGACAGGAGACCACCCACTGCACCCTCATTTCCGAGCTCTGCTGGCACGATTTTAACAACGAACCTTGCAACTCAAACTGTGACCTCATTGCGCTTTCTTGGACGACTGATCAATCCTACTCGAATCCTGGGACTTCGTTAACCAAACATCACACAACCGAACCAAACCAAACCAATATCCAAACCCAAAGATTTCCCAGTTCTATCCCTGTAGATATTACATCATCAACGCCATCGCCCCTTCCATACACAACATCAACATCAACCGACTATCCGTCACCTTCAACCAAATTACATTCTAGTAGTTGCTCTTTCCCTCCCCTCAGTAACCCCAATCCGGCGGACGGCCCCCATATTTGCAACATCTGCTACCAAAGCTTCAACAAGACTTGCGAATTAAAGTAAGCCTGTTGGTCACTAATCGCCTCTGCTTTGGTCATTTATTAACGCGCTGCAAATGTAGCCAACATAAGAGGTTTCACAATCGAGATTGGAAATGCAGATTTGGGGATTGCCAATTTGCTTGCTCCGCCTCATCGCATCTCCAGAAACATGTTCACGAGAAGCACAAGCTAGATCCCTCTCGAGCATACCAATGTTTAGCATCATCCTGCCGGAAGTACGGCAAGATCTTTCGTCGGAAGCAGAATTTCGAGAGGCACTGTCAAACTTACAGGAAATTTCATGGGCTTGATAAAAGATAATAGTTAGCGATCTTGTTAGCAATTGCATCATTCCTACAGCCGAAGAGTCCGATTCTCAGCCTGCCTAGCCTCTTAGTATCACAAAAATGAATGACGGTGGTTTTGAATTTTGGGGGGTTAGAACCCTCGCGAAATTGTGGTTGAAACCTCATCTTTCTGCGGTGTTTCGCTCGTGGTTGATCCGGATAGATGCATATTGCGTCAATCCAGATAGGATCTTGGTGAAAGCGGGAATACAGCACCCCCTTCCTTGAGCTCTGGATTTGATCCCCCAATTGATCAGTCCGAAGTTGGTGCAAGGCATTCCAAAGATTCTCACGGGGCGTAAATGACCTCCCTTCAACTATGATCTCACTGAAAGCTCCGACTTCCCCATTCATAGCATAAAGCATTGTACGCGCGCCCGTGTGGCCTACTGCGGAACCCCTCTATTTCCGTAGTAACGAATTCACATTGCGTGTGGTCATTTTGCTCGCCTGGCAGAATATTGATGTGACTAATTTGTGACCTGGAATGACCTGATAGACTGACGTAGTGCCATGGTGCAAGCTGGTGCAAGGGATTCTTTAGTCACTGATTTGAAGATTTTTCGGAAGGATCACAGTTGGAATCATGCTGCAGTGGGGAGGTTGGCCGGTTCACAGGGCTACCATAAGTTGATGGAACTATGTTAAAATTGATCAAGGTGCAAGCCCGAGTGGCCGCATGGCCTCGCTTAGTGCAGGCTCCCCTTTCCGAAACCCCACATATTCATCAACATCCTCCCCCTCTTTCCACTCACGAAACCTTCCCACCAAAAGAACAGTCCACCAAATCCATCCAGTTCGTTAAAAAAAAATAAAAAATTGGCAACAACATTTCACCTCTTCCCTGACCTCCCCCTCACACTAGAAGCCGACATCCTCAGCCCCGCCTCCCGAAGACCCTGTCTTAACCTCGCCTTCTGGACCCCAGAAACCCCCGATACGGAGGAAACCTGGATCCTCCCTTTACCTGCCACACAAGCCTTCCAGAAACTCCAGAGCGTAGCACAGCTTCACTTTCCCCTCCTCCACCGCGTCCACCTCTTCCCAATCCACCTATAAGCACACCCCGCCGCCGCCGCAATACCACTCCGGCGTACCGGGCTCTTTCTCGATTCCTTCCCCCTAGAGCCACCCGTGCTAGAAACAATCTATCTCCGTCCCTCAATCGATATCTTGAGCCTGCCCGGCCGTTTCTCCATGATACCACCGAGCGTGCGACTTGATGTCACTGATTTCGTGGCGAGGGAGGAGGCCCAGAGGATTAAGCGGATTCGCTATCACGTTGAAGGATTAGAACTACGCAGAGTTGTAGGCAACCCTACTGATGCATGGGGCTATGACAATCGAGCGAAGAACTATGGTGGGGCAGTTGATTGTAGGGCTGAAGAAGTTGGAGGCGGTGTATGTTGTTGGTGGCGATGAGCCGACGAGATTGTTCCTGCGGCTGGACAAGCAGGAGAGGTTGAGTGCTCAAGCGCAGGGCCTTGGTGGTGGTGGAGGGGTCTTGGGTGCCAGGCTAGGAGCTGGGAGTAAATTTCGGAAGGTTTTTTGGGAGACGGAGAGGAACAGGAATTGTTAATGAAGACAGAGAGAGAGAAAAGGTGGGAAGGCGGCACTTGAAAAATGGATGGGAGAGGATGAGGTTGATGTTGTGAGGAGGGCGAGGGGGCGTTCCAGGGGTGTGCGTCTTCGTATGCAGGGTTACTAATACCGTCCCCCACTACAATCAATGGTATAGAAGAGAGTTGGGAGACTACGGTTGAAGTGGAGAAGAGGAACCAAGAGAGGGGTGAGTGTAGGGCACCGAGGGAGGTTGGTTGTGAGGTGAAGTGTGCAGGGAGACAAAATGTTGTATATTGAGTCTTGGAAGAAAGGGTTGTGATGAACGAAGACATTTTGCCTTTCTTGTATTTGAAGATGCGACATTAAGGAATTTAGCTAAGAGGATGACGAATATTTACTGCTTGTTAAATTTGCCTATTCACCAGCCCGTATTTCCCCCCAAATTCTCCAGCTAATTGAAAGATACAAAGTTCGTTCTTTAAGGGCAGCTTTCTTCTTCCCACTTACTTTCCACCACGAATTTGTACCTCAACCCAAACAGTAACGGAAAATGGCATACAGAACACCACCCTTCTGTTGCTCCCACATCCTCGCCCAGCCCCCCTTCCACACACAAGAACACTACCCCCGCTCCTACGCCTGCCTTCTCGATTTTCTCGCCCTGGCCATCTCCCTCCCAGCTGGTCAGCTACCACCTACAACCCCTATAAAGCCATTGACAGAACACGACTTCGTGATCCGTCTGTGCAAAGGGCAGACCGCTCCCATGCTCGGACCGAATCAATGGGGGGCTGCGCGATACTTCCTCCCTGACCCACCCGTCCCAGGCGGTCTGGTAGAAGTACTCCATGTTGAGAACGGAAGCCGAGGAAACAATTTAGATTGCCTCAGATGGTTTCTGAACGAAGGAGGTGGAAAGTTCGGCGGCTTTATGTACTTGGAAGATGTATGGATGACTGTTCTTTGTCCTGTTCATAAAGATTCTGTTTGGTTTCTTCAGTTTTGGGTCAAGGGGCCGAAGGATAATGAGGAACTCGGGGAGGTGAGCAAGAGGGTTACGGATAGGAGGAATCAAGAACCTGGATTTGTCGAGGATTCGTTTTCGAGCAAGTTTTATGATGTGATGGGGATTCCGAGTCGGCCGCAGCAGCCAAACACAAGACCAATTCGGGACGAGGACGAACCGAAACCGTCTGTTTTTGGAGGTGTGGGAGATGGCGGCATCGACAGATGGTGTAACCAGGAGGAGGAGGAAATAACTCGGCTCCAGGACCATTGTCGCGGTGAGTTGGGCTTTCCACCAAACTTGCCAGTGGGATATCAACAATCGCGGAGCATTCCTCCAGGGGTCCCTCCAAAATTTCTTCGACAACAGAGACTGTTTGGACATGCAACACCAGACGCTCCCGCTTTTCTTTGTACCCCCTGGGCTGATAGTAGGCCAGCTCAGTATGGGCGTGGAGAATTTTGGCTGCCACATAACAGAGCTGGACCTCAGCAATTGATCCCGAATCGCCAGCTAGGCGGGATCGAGGAGGCAGGAGATGGAACGATGGGTGGCAATCAGACTCAACCAACACGACCACCACTTCAAGGCACCGAACTGCAGCAGCGGGATCTCGCTCTTCGAGAACCACAGACTCCTCAGACATTTGATTTACGTCTCCCACCTGGTTTAGGTTTTGGAGACCTTCATCGACCAACAAGCGCAGCTCCTGCGACAGATGATCTCAATCCTTGGCAGACACCAGAGCTCCACTCCCCACAACCAGCTCGGCACTTCAAAGGAGCAACAGAAATGTGGCAGAGTCCCAAACCTCGTCCAGAACCGTTGGCTCGGCCCTTAGGCTTCCATGAACAAGATGAGCAAGGATACGGAGGAGAACCACATGGAGTCTATCGACCCGACCAACCCTTACCACCAGCCCTTCCATACCCGCAAGCTCATGTCCCTCAATCAACGACCAAAGATGGCGGAGGCTGGGAGGACATCACCGATCAAGGCCCTCTTTCTTTCAGCATGCTGGGTCGCGCACAACTATCTCGCAACGAGTATTCTTCTCCCGAACCCCATTCTGTTACGAAGTCAGAGCGACTTGGTAAGACTGGTGCAATTGAAGTCGACTCAATCCTCGAGAATTCGACCCAGACGCCCCGTCCACAACCTCCGGTGAGTGGAGGTGGAGGTGCTTCTGCTCCTATGAGAGATACCAGTGTAGCTGGTGCGTCGGCATATGCTCCTCCAGCTGGCAACACGAGTGGCTTACGGCCTATTCAGCGGCGGACATGGGATGCTGGGACTAAGCAGTGGCGCTCATATTGGATCTGGGGTTTGTAGTGGGGAGGTCGTACGTGTCTGAATGGAGGGCGACGAGGATATTGTGGGAGAGAATGCCTTCGTCTAGCTTGTTAGCGGTTTTGGATGTCTTCAAATCGGCAGATAGTGAGGGAAGAAAAGATAAGACTGCCCAAATACTTTAACCCCTGTGACTTGGTAATGAAGAGACTTTCTCTTGCACAAAGATTTGACGGTTGTGCGCCTTGATCAAGTCTTACACCACCTCAACCTTTTTCTAACCCAGCCTCCCTGAACACCCCCCTCAGCCAACCCTAAGCCCGTCCTCTCATTATCCCCTCCTCCAAGCAGGACATGCAGATTTCCCATCTCCACTCCACAAGGGGAGAACTTTGCCTCTGGGCTGTGGGGACACTTTGTTTTACCAAGGTTTCATCTGGATCTCTTTTCACAACATGGTTTATGAAGTTCCTAGTCGCTGCACTTCCTTCCCCTTTCACATCCAACTTCATCCGCAACACCAGATCTCGGACGAGGCCTCGGCGTTCTGGTCACGCCATTTCGCTCGCGTTCGCTGTACCCCAGGCTTCGACATCCATACATACACGCAATGGATAGCGATCTCTCACTCTCAGTGGAAGCGCCCAGCAGCGGACGCCGCGCCGAGGTCTTGGCGCCGTTTTTATGGCCATACTAATATCGACCCACAGCATCCATGCGCTGCGATGAGTCTGCGATCTTGATGGATTCGAGGACGTTGTAGTTTGCTTGTGCGCGGCACCGGACCATAATGATATGAGATGGTTCTTCTCACTCCTGGCCCCTTGCCAAGAAACCATGCGTGCGTTGCTGAAGCTGAGATTATTGCTGGAACTGATTTAACGACAGTTGTATAACCAAGGATGGTAGCTAGCTATCCTCGCCCTCAAGTCATCCAGAAAAGATGATTCTTGACATCAAGAGATGAGATGCAGGTATGGAAGAGTAGAGTGATCACTGATCAGCGTACTTGACGACGCCGACAGGTTGTTGATCTTGTCAGAGGCATCTCCCTCTATGTAGGGAGGCCCCTCTTCATGCATCGAGGTACCTATGACGAGGATACGGAAATCGCCGTGTAGTGCAGTCAAACCAATCAACCCGTCCGCATGGAAAGCACGAAAGGCAGGCTGAACGAGATGATTGATCGTCGGCGTCAATGTTGTGATTGGTGGCTTTAGCGAAGTAGTCGCCGACCCTCTCTCTAGGAGGGGACGAGGAACTCGGCATCGGCGAGTTATAGGGAGAGTAGTGTGTTCTGGTAACTGAATCAGATCCGGAGGCCGAGGGGAGACTTCCTCGAAACGAATGGTGCACAGTGTGGTTGAAAGAATAAAGCAGAAACCTGGAAAGAACCGCGCTGCGAGGAATAAGGGATATGGAGGTCTGTAGAGAATTGAGGACAGAACCATGTGAAACATCAACGTGCTGTTTGCTCCATTAATCCACACTCAAGATACTGCTCCTTTTATTTACCCCCGTCCAAAAACGCCAGATACCCAGATCCATATGTGCATCTCCCCTCAAAGATATCCAAACAAAGCACCTCCCACCAATACCGCCGGTATCCAAGCCAGCTCGCCCATTCCCTCCCCTCTCCACGTCGACGCCATCCCCGTATTATTATAAAGCAGCGCCGGCGTCCCGGTGACATTAACCTTCTCATCCACACCACACACAACCTTGCACCCCGGCGTGCCCTTCCTCTTCTCCAGCAAACCCCCAACACCATGCTCATCCCTTTTGCTCGTCCCAGCATATGTCCCACTCGTATTATACACCACCTCCATCCACTGAATCTGCAAGTACGCCTCATCATAAAGACTCATATTCCCCGTCCACCCGCCCCCGTCACTCCACATATTCAGTATCAAACTACTCGGGTCCCGGGGAGCCTGGAAGCCAATCTGCGCCACCTTCAGCCCATTCACATACCAACTCGTCATCTTCGGCATCCAATCCAACCTATACGTATTCCACAGCGTCCAATCCCTGATCCCCGGGTTCGTGGAATTAACAGTTGCTTGAGGGTATGGATTACCGTTCTTGTCGTTGGAGGGTTGGTTTGTGTACTGCACCATGTCTCGTGGTCCGCCGGTCAGGATCTCGATGTCGGCTTCTTGGATCAGTTGCGCGTTGTTGTTGGGCAGGTAGGTGAACATGCCTGCGCAGGCGCCGGGGGAGCCGATTACGCGGGCGAGGAAGCGGGCGGAGAGGTATTGGAAGTTCTTTTGATTGGAGTCGACTTCTGCCGCGGATTGGAAGTCGGGAAGACGCTTGGTGCGGAGGGTTAGGTAGGAGGTGTAATCGGGGGAAGTGTCGTTGCTTTTCTCTGCTTCTGGTAAGTCAATTGGGATGGGGAGGGGAAGGGAGGGAGGGGTACCGATGTAGACATTGTTTGGGGAGTTGATCATTAGGATGGTAGCATCTGAAGATCCCCTACTGTCGCTGTTATTCCAGTTCTGGGTTGTCCAATCGCCTGTCCACGCATCGCTGATGAAGAAATTTGAGGTTGCGAATGCAGCGGTTGCATTGATCTCGCTGGAGATGGCTGCTGGGGGGTTCGCCGCGATGGCGATATTTCTCCAGTCGTGAAAGCGATGGTATGTGAAGTATCCGGCCGAAGAGCCATTCGTTCGAAAGCAAGAGCATTCGTTGCCATTGTCTGTTTGTGCGGAGGTGAGTCGTAGGTTGGAGAATAGCAAGATCCCCGCCAAGAGGGAAGAAGGCAGAGCCATTGTAGATGTTGTGCCCATGCTAGATTAGATGCAATAGATTGCAAGCAAGCAGAGATGAGGATAAATAAATGGTGAAAAAAGCAAAGGATCAAGTGAATCGAAAAGGTCGAGGAGGCGTTCGGGCTGTCCACCTTTACGAGGTACTGCGCCTTAGCTGCTGCGTTGGCACACTGAAGCTATTGGTAGCTGCATGCCTGGGCAGAGGGGCCGACCACAACGAGCGATGGTCTGATGCTGAGGACCAGAAACAGGGAAAGGGGAGCAGACGGAGCAGGCGCTGCAAATACCTCTGCATCACCCATCATTGGTGCTTTGATACGGGCCTCGGGCGCCGCTGTGGTGCTTGGGTGGTTTGAGGCCATCGCGCGTTTTCGAATGAAACTCCTGCAAACAAAAGTTGGTTTTGCTGGTCTCGGCGCGCAATCGAGCAACCCCTGGCATTAGTTGCCCCTCTAAGCTCGCGCTATTCCGCAGACGATCGACCCTATTTTTAGCACGTCGATCCGGAGATTTCCAAAACCTTACCTAAGTTCACCTTAATTTTGACGACAATGAATGTTTTATGCGTATATTGAGTCATTTTGCTTCCAGACCTCAAGTGCTGTGAATAGTCAAGGTAAATGTCTTCCGACCCAAGAGTGTCTGTACGTACACTCTGCCATTTGCTACTTGCTTTTGCGTCCTGCTCATAGCTCTGTTTCTAGGCAACATTTGCCGACGAAATTGGTAAGGATTTAAAACGGGTTCCCAAAGAGGTCTCTATCCGATTTAAGTCTTTCAAGTTTACCTCTCCACAATATAGACTCGAAACCACCTATTCGATTATATCGGAGTTACGAATACAATCTCAAGGAATACCTCCTTTAAAGCGTCCAATAAAGATCGCTCTAACTTCCCACTCAATACTTTCACAAATTTCAATCTTGTTTTTATTCTCGTCAGGAGCTCGATTTTCTCGCGCTCCCCGAGAATAGAATATCCGGATGCTTCCCGGGTTTAAACGCCCTCTTTTAGGACTTCCAGCTGTTGATTTCGAGCGAGCTGCTCCGTCTCATCGATACCTGCCGACAAGTTAGAATAGATGGTCACTTTAAAAATTTACTGACCAGCTTACCGCAGCCACAAATGTATTCTATTCCGATTGTTAGACGTAAGGATAACCTGTTAAATACCTCGGGGAAACATACCAGGTTCACTGGAAGCGAGCTGCCTCAACAGCATAATTTGCTTGAATCCATGTATGTTGAGTTTGTTGATTTTAGCCCACAGATTGATTCCTGGTTGCTCCTTTGGCTTTAAATCGTTCATGGTAGCTTTGTAGATAAGCTGAGCTAGCCTTTCGGACTTTATGATATGAGAAGCTATTTTAGTCAATACATTTTGCATAAAAGTAGACAGTAGATACTTTCCTCTAGCAATGGTATTTTCCGGTCCCTGAAAACAATCGTCAAATTCAATCTCCGTTCCAAACCCCTTCGAAAGTTCCAAGAACGCGACTCTATTCTGCTTCATAAATAACCATCCTCGCTATGGTGGAAGCGGAAGATAGCTCTCTATTAGGAGCCGGCGGTTCCGCCGGCGCAGAGACTCATCCAGGCCTTGTGACCAAGCTTCGATCTTGACTCGCAACTTCCACATTAGCCTGGCCCGATCAATATATGTTTTTCAAGAAGAGTTCCTTCTGATCCGCCTGATAGATCAGCTTAATGACTAACAATATATTTTAAGGAATTCAGGAGGGGTGCTTTAGCCAAAGACTTATAGATCTGCATAAACTCATCATCGGTATCGTGCTTCCAGTTGTCCTTAATGACTTTAGAACAAAATCGTCTCATTTCTAATATCTTGAGTCGAAAGCCTTCGTAATCTTGAACCTCAGGAGTAGGCTCCTCCCTCCAAACAGGTTCCTCCTCCAGGGTGGGTAGCACGCAACTTCTCGGGACAATTATCAATTTTGGGGATACGGGTGCAAATTCATGGAGGGGGGTATGAGATCCACCTTTGACCTTCCGGTGGTTTTGTCAGTTACAAAGCAACTCGGTCCTTCGAAGACGCTATAGCAGTTATCAGTGAGGATGAACTCATCGCTGGGTTAGACGGTGTGCAAATAGCCAAGTACATGCGTTGAGCGTGTATAGTGAACCACATACGCTTTGGAAGGTCCTTTATCCATTCTCCCTCAGGATCCATACGCAATTCTAGAATTGTTCTCAGATTATAGAACCAAACATCCGTCGGCTGCTTGAATCCCTCTCTGACATGTATTCCCGCAACAACTCCCAGTCGTCGGCCTGGTAAACACTCCGCGTTGTCGTGGTAAAAGCGCTGATGAAATGTTGATCCGCGATACTTGAGAAGAAACAGGAATTTGCGACGAGATCTCTCTCCTCGCACGTTAGCCACAGTTCCTTCTCGTTTTGCTCAAAAGCCTTGGTGATCTTGCGGGAGACGATGCTGGCTTGACTCTCTACGGAGGTGCAGCCTATAAGTACTACGACGCCACTTGCAGGGATCTCAACTTTACTACCTTATGTTACAACCACAACGCACCACCGAAGTACGAAAACAGATATATGTATAGTACCCATCCTAGGGATCATATTAGTGTTTAAATAGAGGCTTTTTGTTGTGTATAGGAAAAGTTATGAATGTTGAAATCGCATGTGGCGTTCAGACCCTTGCGGTGGCGTCGTAATAGTTGTGGGGTTGCAGCTCCGTTGCCTGGAGAATTGTGTTCGATGCTGTTGCTCGGAAAATGGACTGCTCGTGTCTCGATAGATGTCCATTTGACTGAGGATACGATTTGCCCGTGCCTCGCATAGGACAGGCAAATCCTCTGACAAATCGATAGTGTTGACAACACGTCCACCATAGTATATTCTTTTCTGGTCCTTGCGCTTTGAACGCTTTGGTTTCTTGCGGTCATCTTCTGCGGCCTGTAAGGATGAGAAAAGTTCCTCAGGAGGAATTATGGTACGAAGTGTTGATACTGGGTGCAACTGGTTTCCGGCATAATTAATAGTTCCTCAAATTGAGGATTGACAGGCGAAAGGCAACAAGAAGTTCAAATGGAGAAGGTCACGAGAGTATATTGTAGCTATCGCTGAGGTGGATAAATAAATAGGGATATTCTTCACGGGGCTGAGGAGCCGACTCATCGAATTACACGAATTTCAGATGTCAACGTGCCAACGCGTCAAATCACGTGTTAGTACGGGGTTGCTCCCCAGCGAATTTTGAGCGCTCCCTATATACACCCCCAATCGACACCTGGGGGGAGGTTGGGGGGTTGTCATTTTCCTTTTTTTTTTCGTGGGGGAGGTGGCTTGCCCTGCCTCTGGAAGGAGCGCGTTTGCTCACCCTCGTCCTTCAAGCAATCGAACGTCGCGCAAAACACCATGGCCACCTCGACCGCACAACCACAACATTACAATCAAGATTGCGGCTTCAATTTCCAATCGTGCACAGGATCTTCTGCCGGATTGTGGTGGTGTGTGGACTGTTCAACTCGGATTTGTGACGGCTGCTGGCCAGTTGTCCCTGGGCACCGCGACGGGGCAACGGCGCGTGATGGGCAACCTCATGAGAAAACAGACTCCCGCCGCCATGACCGGCTGCGAGAGATCTTGAATCCGCCTGTGACCGAAGATGAGTTAGAGCGGCTGCATGCAGCCGACCTCGAGACAACATGGTTTGGTAAGCTTGCCTCATCCACAACCACTCTCAAGACTTAAGAATCGAGAGCATAAGAGAATCTGCAACTCACCACATGGCTCTGCGGCAGGTATTAGCAAGAACCGATCCCACCAGCCCTGCCTCCTGGACGGTGGTATATACAACTCACTCGTCGCACAGTGTCCATTCCACGATGGCCCCAAATACCCTCAATTGGTATCGTTCATCGGACAGACCAATGCTGGCAAGAGTACTCTGATTAAGATGCTCATTGATCACGCTGAGACCCAATCGAATCTTGCATCCTATGCTTCCCCTGTCGTCGGCTCTTCAATACACAGCCGCGCACCGACGTCGGCCGATGTACACCTCTATGCTGATCCAAGGACATACCCCAGTTCTAGACCACAATTCTATGCCGACGCTGAGGGCTTGGATGCCGGAGAAGAGATACCTATAGGTGCACCGAGTAGACGAAAGTCAAAACTACACCGCACGAGGGGAGGGGGAAAACGGATCCTGGAGTGGGCACGCTCGGCAGAGCAACGAGAAAGGCCATATATAGTATTGGAACTATATCCAAGACTGCTGTATACCTTTTCGGATGTTGTGGTATTTGTCTTGAGAAACGAAAAGTAAGTCGACTAGGCTCAGCCAACAATCCTGGGGTTGATTATTCCTTTAATTTACTACTTTCTAACAATCCCATAGGACCTTTGAGAAAACTGGCCTCGTGAGGCTCATTGAATGGGGCGCGGCATCCCTCGAGACCTCTGTTAACCAACCAACATTGCCTCAATTGGTAATTGTAGTGAACGCGGCAACAGTGAATGTAGCAACGCAACAGGAGTGGGATGTTGACTATGCTACTGAGAACCTTCTTCGGTCTGTCCGACCAAGTCTGCAAAAGAAGACCTACTTCAAGAACCTAGCGCAAAGTTGGTCGTCTAAGGGTTGGCGCATTGATTCGATCGATGACCTGATTAGATGTTACTACTCTTCGTTCAGTGTGGTTCGAATTCCCGCCGAAGGCCGCTATACTTTACTTGACAGGCAGATCGGCGCTTTAGGACATGCGATCAACACTTGCTGTAAGGAATCGTTCAATGCAAAACGTCGAGCAAATATGCTCTCGAATTCCGATGAGCTCAGCATATTCTTGCACTCTGCTTTCGATCACTTCACTCGAGATTTGCAGACCCCATTCAATTTCATCGAGATTTCGCGACGAAATAATGTAAGTTGCAAAAACGGAAGAACCACTTCCCACACTCACATCAACTTTAGCCCATTCCACAGAATTTTGGTGGGCATATTCTCCAGCTGGCTATTTCTCTTCACAAGCAAGACCCTGAAGAGGACGGGAAGGAGATATTTCATATGCTCAGCTGCTTTGTGGCTTCGAGTGTGTTACTGGACTGTGTTCGTCATCGGAAAGGTAAGAATATCGACGAAGCTGGCGCACCCTTGAACGAAAAACGAAAGACCTAATTATGTCCAGGGCTACCATACGATCATATAACCGACTACGACGACTACTTTCATTATGCTCTTCAAGAATACTGCAAGTATTATTCGCCTTGTACCTTTGCGAATGACAGGGGGAGATGTGTAAATACACGTTCGGCACACGAGTCGAAAGGGCATCAGGACCAAAGAGGCAGAATCATCGCTTCAGGATCCTATCAATCCGACTTTACGTACGATGGATATTGTGATATCTGGGCCGAAAATCTCGATAGGGATATTGTATCGTGCCAAAGGAAACTCGGAGAACTACGAGATCAGGCCGTCTCAGACGAGAACCCCGCACTCCGACTTCATAAAACGGCCATGGATCGTTTCTACCGTGCTTTTGATACGGCTAAAGACTTCCAAAGCCATACCGTCTGCTTTTCATGTCTCATGGGAATCCCGCAACACTCGCTTCCGTGCGGCCATGTTCTGTGTACCCCATGTGTCAAGGATTATGGCAGATCTCTGAATAGTTCTGAATATATTTTAGACCGCTGCCCGCTACACTCCGACGATAGCTCCTGGAGAGATGGTTGTGTTATCCGTTTTAAGCCAGATTTGGCAGGGGTTCGTGTGCTTTGTCTCGATGGGTAAGCTTCCCTACTGTCCTTTATCAACAACGATATTTCAGTAGATATCGATTGTTTATCCCTGGTATCATTTCATGATATAGCTGTAACTTACATTCTTGTCAATCTTAATAATCAATGCCCTGAGAATTGGTTTTGACACACTGATAAGTGTGGGCTTGGTTTCTTGATTCTTGCTAATACTAGGCAGCGGTGGCATTCGCAGCATAGTAGAGTTGGAGGTTCTGCGCGCAATTCAAAAAGTCGTCGGAGATGGAATACCGATCCGGGCATTTTTCGACCTCATTGTTGGCACAAGGTGAGATGAAATCTCTGATATGTTCCTTTTCGTGATCTAAAATCCACAAGCACCGGGGGCATAATTGCTCTGGCACTCGGATGAAATTGGACCATCGATAAATGCATCCGTGAGTTTCGAACCCTTTGTCGCCAGGCATTCACTCCCCGCGCACTGCACAGCATCCCTGGTCTCCGGCAGCTGCGAACGCTTAGCCATGGGAGCATTTATAAGACAAATCAGCTTTACGATGCCTTGAAAAGGTCTCTTGGGTACAAATCCCTATTTGGTGGACGACGAGAAGACGATACATTATATACGCCTAAGGTAGCTATGACATCCACTAATGAAGAAGGGCGAAAAGCAGTCATCATCGCAAATTACAACCGAAGCAGCAGCGTAGGATCCGGAAAGCGAAGAAGATCGAAGAAGCTATACGAGTTCCAAAGACCGGATGACCCCTCCTCAGAACTGAAGTATTGGGAGGCAGCAGCCGCTACAGCTGCAGCCCCACCATACTTCAAGACATTCTATCACCCGGCAACACGACGTTCATATTTTGATGGGGCATTCTACAACAACAATCCAGCAAGAATTGCCCAACAAGAACGCAAGGTTCTCTGGCCAGATGTCGCAGACCATGCCCCCGACATTTTTCTCTCCATCGGCACAAGCAAAGATGCCCGGCAGCTGGACAAGGACATTCGAGACTTAGAGGATGAATTGGAAAACTCGGAACCCAGGTTAGTACCAATTTCCTAAAAAGGCGTTGAGAGGATTGACAGGGCATCATCATAGCAGCCGAGGACCAAAAATTCTATTTCCAAGATGGTATCAATTGTTCAATGCAGCGGTTCGTGACCCGAAAATATTTTCATATCCCCAACTGCTGCGATAGTTCTTGGCTGAATTCTTCTTAGAATGGCAGATTGGACAATATACTTGATGCCGAGGTATCATGGAGGGATTTCCTCAGCAGTAATACTACTAGCACTACAGAAGATCGTTACATCAGAATCAATCCCAACATTGGCTCCAAACCCCCCGAGCTTGATGCGATCAGCCAGATGGAATCACTGCGAGATGATACAAGAAGAGCACTTAGAAGGGAAAGGTTAACTATACAGGATGTTGGCCGATCATTGATCTCTAGCAGCTTTTATTTTGACATGACAAATCCCCCCAGCCCAGAAGGAGCAACTCGTTTCAAGTGCACAGGTAACAAACCTATGACGCCATTACAATATGTAGATCTCTCAATTTGCTGACCTTGCAAAGGTCGAATTCTCTGTCGACTCGGGGGCTATCTACGTGCATTTGGCGACTACTTCTTGCTTCAGCAGAGACCAGGGTTTCAACCCTATTTTGAGATATCCGAGGACACGTATCATGCTCCCAAGCAACAGGTATATATTTGTAGCCACCCTCCACTTCAACCTGCTGATTTGGAAAAAAGTTAGATCTTAGTTCTGAGATCATCAAACGGATGAAAGAACAAGGCGCGTTTGACATGAGCACCTTTGACATCATGCTGTCCTCTCGTACCGCCCGCGTGAATATTGTTTTATTTCTTATACCGACTGGGTCCGGCCCGGGGGAACCATTGCCATATCCCCTCAGTGGGTTTCCGAGGACGCTCGTATCAGAGGCGTCATCTGGAAGTACGATTTTGAGATAACCTCTTGTGGGGTCTAGACTAACTTCGTTTAGGAGTTCCCAAAACTTCGTCAAGTAGTGGTGTGCGCACACATAAAACACAACATACGCTAAGAAGAGAGCGCAGAATGCGAGCGTCAACTGATTGCGACCCTCAGACATTTGGTCAAGGTCTACGACCACAGGCATCCAGGAGCTTCTCCGATCCCGAGCGAAGTAGAAGTGCCCTTGGCGGTGAATGGAGACGAGTGATTGGAGCAGAACTCGATGGTATGGCCTTTCATTATGTTACCTTCACAATAAACCTCATTTTATTACTACAGCCGCTAACATACCAGCAGCACCCCTTGGACCGTACCGCCAGGCTCCACCATCAAGCCTTAGCAACAGCGATATATTACCTTCGAGACGAGTAATTGGAGCAGAACTCGATGGTATGGCTTTTTATTCTTGTTAACTTCAAAGAAAACCTCATTTTATTACTACAAACACTAACATGCCAACAGTACCCCTTGGAGCGTACCCCCAGGCTCCATCACCAGGCTTTAATAACAGCGATATATTAGCTGACAGCATGGCGGGGTCGTTGAAAACGCAGTATCAGGCTAGACAGACATCACCACCGACTATCAGGTTCGAACTACCTACTCGACCAGAATCGAGCAAAAGGCAACAAGAACGTGAACCGATGGCCGAAGCCAAACGCCATAGCTCCCCTGTGCCTGGATCTACAGCACATGGCGGGGGACCTTCACGAAATGATGGCAGACGTGGTACCTCTGACCGCATTGAGCTAGATGCCGAAAGTCCGCGTCAAATCGAAGTCCCAAGAGAAAGTCGACGAACCTCCTTACAGCCGCCAAGACAAACGCCGTCCAATCGATCATGGGATTCCAGCCCAAGTTTAGCCATGACGGCAACATCACGCGGTGGAACCTATCATGACAGCTCAAATGTAAGGGACATGCTTCGAGCTCAAAGGCGCGCGAGATTCAACACGGAATCGGAGCCCGAAGACCCCATAAGGCAAAATAGAGCGTTTGAACTCCCGGCCTCGACCCAGCGAATTTCATCCAGTCGAAGAGTTGTCAGGGAGCGAGGTCCACTCTCTGATCTGGAACATAAATTATCACCACGGTACCTACAACCGGCATACAATGGGTACGCTTCAGAAGAAGATGTTAGCCAGCTTGGATCATCGACGGTTGATTACCGTGACTAGTGAGATGCAGCATTTTGAATAATTGACGAAGGGCAAATTTGTATGTAATGATGCTATGAGATATGACATGAGATGGTGAACCGATAATGGCTTTGCAAATTGAGTTAGTTCGATTTCGGATACCCTTGCTTTATAATAATTGGATTTGGCTCTGGCGTATTTCTAGATTTCGAGAATAATGTTCTATACTATGGTCCTCTATCAGTCACCGATGAGCAGCGCAAAAGAATCAGAAGAACGAGTGAAATGGCACCTCCAGAGACCCGGTGTTTAATTTACGACTGGCTGGTACTTCGCCCTGATAATCTCTCCCTGCTTCAAGCATATCAACGGACCTCTGTGCTGGAGTTTCGAGAGTACCACTTTGTGTGGGAATGAAAGTGAGTTTGGCTACCAAAGGAGACTCACCCGACTATGACATGGCAAACATGTACGGCGCCAGGGAGTTGCACGAGTAAGACTGGCAAGGTTGTTATTAATTTCAATTGGAGATGGCTCCATGATAAGACTAGTGGGAGCTATACCAATTGCTACACCGGCAATACCTGGAATACAACCCTATGTGAGTATACCGGGCCCGTGTATTGCCTGCTCTACATATCCAGGGGGTTGTTGCAATTCACAGAGGTTTTGGGAGTAAACTCTCAAACATGGTTCGCTCCTGCAATTCTGTACAGGAAGATGCTGATTCCGGAATTTGAAATTTAGGCGCCGACAACAAGAGTTGCGCAACAGATTGTGCCCTCGAAGGCGCCGACTACAAGGCAACATACGGAGCCGCCACTAGTGGCAATTCGCTGAAGCTCGAATTCGTTACTAAAGGCACATCTGCAACTAATATCCTAACGGATTACCTTTAGAGCAACATCGGCGGCTGGGAGGCATCAAGCAATGACCAAAATGCTGGTGTAGGAGGATACGGTTCATGCTGTGCAGAGATGGATATCTGGGAAGCGAACGCGGTGTCTGCAGCACTCACACCTCACTCGTGCTAGACTGTGTCGCAGACTATGCGCTCTGGATATTATGGATTCAAGGTAGTGAGGAACAAGGGCAGAAGGTATGATGGTTCCAACTGTATTGTGAAGTAACTGAAAGTAAAGAGAAGGAAGAAAGAGAGAGAAGCAGAGAGTGTCTCCTTCTATAAATACTTCTTAAGCCCCTGTTCCACGCTACCAGCGCGCAATCACATGACCCTAACACTGGAGACACATGCGGAGGGACGTATTCCGCTACTCGATTCGCCGGCACTGGATGGCTGTGCAAACTTGCACCGCCGAATTAGGCGAAGCATGAAAAGGGGGGAGCGGCACGTGAACACTGAACATAGATTCTCACATACTCTGTGACACATGCAAAAGATAATCAAGATATTTTAATCCTATTCGCTATCTCTGATCTTGTGTGCTTAGATTTTCGTAGGCATGTCCTAGGACTTCCACGTGATTTTCCTTTCGGCCAATCAGGCTGAGTGAACTCGTCACGCTCCGTCTGAACCTCATTAACCTTCTTCATCAAGCATCAGCTCCGAATCTTACTAATTATCAATTCAACGCTATGTGGGGACTGCTATATAAAATATGCATGCCCCACCGCTCCTCATCGAGGTCGCCGTCGGCTTCAACATCATGTTTTTCCTTACCCTGGTCTCACGGTGGTTGGCTGCAGTGCCACGCTTCTCATCCACGGCGACCTACTCAAAAGCTGCACAACAACCACTCCTCCGGCTCAACGCCCACAATGAGTTCCACATCGCGATATTCGCTGATCTGCATTATGGTGAGGAGGAAGATGGCTGGGGGATCAATCAAGACGTGAACTCCACACGCGTCATGAATGATATCTTGGGGTTTGAAGATCCGGATTTTGTGATTTTGAGTACAACCCCACCTATCTACCCACTCAACCACTCACTCAAGCAGCACGTGGCTGACTTAGACAGATGGGGATCTCATCACCGGCGAGAACACGTTCCTCACGAACTCCACCAAATATCTGGATGTTGTCGTCAAGCCGTTGGTGAAGCACAATGTGCGATGGAGTTCCACTTACGGAAACCACGACTCACAATTCAATCTCTCCCGCGAAGCACTCTTCAAAGAAGAAGACAAGTACTTCTTGTCTTACACTCAGCATTCTCCGGTTGGGATTCCAGGAATCACGAACTACTACCTACCTCTCTACGCTCAAGAGAAGGATTGCAACGGTACTCCCATCGCGATTCTTTGGTTCTTCGACAGCCAGGGTGGGTCTGAATTCCAAGCACCCGCGGGCTCACAAAATATCCCCAATTGGGTCGAGCCATCTATCGCAGTTTGGTTTCTAGCCGAACAAGCAATTCTCAAGAAAAAATGGGGCAAGAGCCTCCCATCTCTGGCATTTGTCCATATCCCACCGACTGCTTTTTTGACTGTACAAAACAATCTTCTTGCCAATGCTGGAGAAGAATCCATACATTTCCCGGGATTGAATGATGATGTTCCGCTCGCAGCTGAGGGGGATGGGATGCAAGATGTTCCGTTCATGCAGGCCTTGGTCAACACACCGGGTCTGCATTCGGTCTATTCGGGTCACGACCATGGCGATGCGTGGTGTGCAAACTGGCCCAATGTCGCTGGTGTCGTGAACAACGGAAGTACTCCTCACGTGTGCTTCTCCAAACACACAGGATACGGTGGTTATGGTAACTGGTAATTCCAACTCTTCCGATTATCAAATCAGCTTGTAGCAATGGCTACCCAATTGCTCTTGGGACAATCTACTCCTGATAATACCCAAAGAAGTATGCTGACTAGGGTTTCTTGAGAGCAGGAACCGTGGAAGTCGGAACTTGAAATTGAGCTTTGGCAAGGAGATGGAAGTTGAGACATGGGTGAGGATGGAAAACGAGGCAATCGTGCAGCGAGTCGGACTGAATGAGACCTATGGCACTGATGTCTATCCATTAGAGGACGGAGAGAATTACCCCATCTAATGTCGAAATGCACGGCATTAACGATGATGACGAGTCCTCCGATGAAGGGGTTTGAGCTGAATGGAGATCACCTTCAAACCAGAGAGCAAAGCTTCCGAAGCTCTATATTTCGAGGTTTCCCAAAGCCGAGACGGCTGAAGAACAGGGGGTTCGGAGCCAGCTACCAGCCTACCCCCCGATGTCTCAACGGAAGTCCGACCAAAGTCCAACTTTTTTCAACAACCACCGATCATTTCCATCGAATCAGCTTTCGCCAATGCCACTAATCTCAAGCGATTGCGGCCTGATTACGACGCAAACATAGCCTTGTGCTACAGTGGCTGCACTCAGCCTTCCAAGGGGCTCAAAGAGGTTTGCTTAGCGAGAAGGCTGCAGGCTCAGCTTGAGACAAGCCAATCAAGCCTGACCAACTACGTTCATCTCAACCCAGGTTGACTACGTAATCAAGCGCATAAAGTGACGGCTATATTTTCTGTGGTGTTAACTCCAGCTTCACTTTTTACTTCTTGAATTCAACCTTGAAGGTACCGGAGATAAGATCGGTGTCGCAAATAGGCAGATACCGAGACTGAAGGTATATTAACAGCTTTACCTTCAACAAGAGCGACCTAAATTTCATCAACTGAGCAATAGCAGCTCCCCTAGGCACTAAAACGCCAAAGCACCTCTCCAACCTCGTCCAATCATGTCTGCACAAAGCCATTCGAACGGATACATCGACCCTAACTGGCCCGACCCAAACGGCTCTCAAGAGTAGTTCTATTCTACTTCCCCAAACACAAGCATATAGCCAGCTAACACTCTCCAAGTGCCCCAATAATAATCTACGGTTATCACCCCTCCTTTGCCATCGCACTCCTCGCCGCCCTCCTCTTTACGCTCTCCCTGGTCTTGCACGCCTACCAAATTATCCGCTACAGGACGCTCTACCTGTGTACCATACCCATCGCCCTTATCCTCGAAGTCCTCGGATATGTCTTTCGGTCCCTCTCCGCACGTCAAGACCCATATTCCTTGATCTGGTTCGTGCTCCAGTACTTCTTCATCGTCACGGCTCCGGTCTTCCTCTCCGCTGCCATCTACGCCGTCCTCTCGGTGTTAATAAATAAGGTCGGGAAGAAATACAGTCCCATCCCGCCGAAGTTAGTTCTGGGCGTGTTTATTAGTTCCGATGCCGTGATGACCGTGGTGCAGATCTGTGGGGCTGCGATGATTGGCGCTGCGGAGTCGAAGGACAAGGATCCTACGACTGGCAAGAACATACTGATGGCTGGACTGGCCGTTCAGGTCTTCTCGTTCTTCATCTTCCTGATCTTACTGGGTGTTGTTCTGTGGAGGAGCCGGAACGCCCTTTTGGGGTTGAGAGCATTCATTTTTGCATTCGTGGCAGCGACGATGTTGGTATATGTGAGGACTTGCTTTCGGTTGGCAGAGGTGGCGCAGGGTGTTAAGGCGTACTTGTTTACGCATGAGGATTTCTTCGCTTGCTTGGAGTTTGCCCCGATTGCGGTGGCGATGTTGTTGTTTAATGTCTTTCACCCGGGGCGATATTTGAGGAAAGAGTCTGACGAGGTTGCGGGGGGTACGAGTGGCGAGGAGAAGGTTTGATGGTTGTGGAATTAAATGCAGGAGATATGGTACGGAGTTTGGGGTCAATGTACGGCGTATCTTCAATAGAGCGCTACAGTAGTCTTTCATGAAGTCGAGATTATTTTTGAGAGCTAGAGCAACGATTTTCTAATTCAACCTGGTCTCCCAAGGTGGAGGTTGGGAGTCAAGGAGGCAACCGGCGCAAGAATTTCAGGATCGTCAGCGAGTTCAAGACTTTGGCTGGCAAGAAGAGTTGCTCTGTGGCTCAACTTGCTCTAGCATGGTTGTTGAAACAGGGTGACGATATTGTTTCCATACCTGGCATGAAGAGGTTGAAATATATGGAAGAAATTTGGGTGCTTTGATGTTTACCTCTCCGATGAAGAGGAGAAAGGGTTCACGCATTTTATGGAGAATGCGAACTTAACAGGTCATTCTTTACCGCTACGGTTTGCGAGTTACAACTAACTACACTTACACTCAAGAGGAGAGGTAGTTTGGACTTGGGAAAATGATGCAAGGGTTTTATTGCCTCTCGTTGTGTCGAAAACTTTTTTAACATTATAATACATCTGCAACTATCTAAATTTACATGCACTTCTTGCCAACGTGGCTGCCAGGCGGTGTGCATATGAACAAACAACCGTCAAACATGGCTAGTCCACAGAGAATGTTAGACGGTGTTAGGTTCCCCCTTAACTAGGTTCAATTATTATTCCCCATCTACCAATCAAATCTTTTTTCTTTCCTTTTTTAGTTCAAAGTTCAGTCGTTATTCGAAATTGTAAAAGTGATCCCAGCTGTTCCAGGGCTCGTTAGGGGGTATGCGCGGTCCGGGTTAAAGAAAGCATAAGGAACCTTGCCTCCGGTTTAACCTATTCAGCAGAAACTCCAGTTTACATCAGGGAACGGAGTGAGCTAATCTTAAGAGGTTTATTAAACAGCCCTTATTCCCACCATATTTCTTCGGAGACTCTGGAAAAAACTTTTCAACATTACATCACCCATCTAGCTCTCATTAACGCCTATTCCAACTACGCGGTACTATAATTATTCTTCTCAATCGCCAATCTTTGAAGCTCATCTTTTCTTGCTATCAACCCCATCATCGCACTGCCAGGATCCTTGTGATCAATGAAATCACTATACTTCGACCATCAGCAGTGGTAGCAGCTCCTTTATGTATCACCCCGGCTATCGATGGTCCGGTTATTGGTAGTGTTTATGCTTGTCCATTAGAAATTTCTCATTCAATTACGCCGTGTGGTTACATGTGCAGTCCGAGGACATGGTATTGAAAGGTATGTGTAAGGCGTACATGCCCCGGGTATCAAGGATTCTGCTCCCCTTTGATTAATTTGTTTAGAGCTCGGATTAGCAAAAGTCAATGATGAAAGAAGAGCTATTTCAGCATTCGGTGGAAGAAGAGTTGTTGGGCAAGCGTCTGCTCTGGCATTGAATTCCATAGAATATTTCTCAACTGAGCAAATAGCCCCCTCCCATTCAGATTGCGGAACGACCAGCCATATACAAATGCCAGGTTTCTGTGCAAAGAACATTCACATTGTTCTACAGCTTCTCAAGGAGTTCTGACTCCTGATGTGAAAATCACGCTGTCTGGATCTAACAATCGTCTGACATTCCTGGCCAAAACACCAGCGACAAGGCCTCGATGGGGACGCTCCTGGGGCTTACTCAAACGCATCAGTTCCTGCTATGCTTGCGCGCGTGATTATAATGTCATCAAATTATACTGGACTGGGATGATATCCTCTAAAGTTGTACCACGGGCGACAAGGCAGCTCTGGTTCCTAACCATTTCTTCCATCCGCAAACATACTTCGATTTCCAACGAGACTACCTGCTCATTGGTTGCAAGCAGTGTAACTCGTACGGCTGTAGATACTGCTCGCCCCACGTTAAAAGGTCAGCGACCTGCCAACTCAACAACCTCCTGATCCCGTTATATTGTGCTTAGGCTGGAGACAAAACTGTCTGATCTCAAACCATCGGCAAGATAGTTTCGAGCGGCACATTACAGGAGCCTGTGAAGAATATTTGGCAGCTAAATGCGCCATATTCGACTGAGCATATCTCGTTTTGATGCTGAGAAAATTGCCCACGTGGAATTTGATGTTCCAGTTGATACACGGTGAGGAAAGGAGAAACGTCACTAAGATGATTGGTGTTGCGGTGTGAATTTAAGAATCCAAACCCCTATTTGAGGCTTGTCGCCTACTTCAAATCGGTGATTGGTTCCCAGCCGAAACGAATCACTGCGCTCAGCTTTACACTCGAAAGGGATCGGGAATGCAGGCGGTTGCAAGAGGAGTATAATTACAAATTACAACCCACCGATCTGCTTTCCACATTTGATTCACATCTGCAAGAGAGTGACTAAACGATCCTTCATATCCTCCTGAGCCTTTTCTCTTGGCAAATCGCGGGGTTAAGAGCACCCACAAATCAGAAATGCCGTGGCTCTCACTCTCAGTTGGAGTTTATCCAAACCCGCAGATTGGCGTTTTGTGGCGTTCATTTGGTGCGAATTCCGCACCACATTCCTTCATGATTCGCAAGTCACGAAAAAGAAAAGGTTGTGCAAAGCAGGCATCCAGTAAGAGATGCAGCTATGCCTTGACGATTTTGTATAAGCACGTGTAAAGTTCCTCCGAGTTGCAGTCCCTTTTAGACTATTTCAGGCATTACTGCTCCTCACCCCAGGCACTTGACACCTGCGAGCCTCGATTCTTCCAACACACTCATCACCGAGCTCAAAAATTGGACACCAAAGTGAAGATGAAAGGGATCCAGGTTGAAAAAGTGGGTGGGTCGTACGACTACGTGGAAGAGATCGTCAAGCCTTCCCCGGAGAAGAATCAAATCCTGGTCAAGTCTCTGGTGACTGCCATCAATCCGGTGTGAGTGCGAAGCTCGTACTGTCTATGCTTTCCTTGATTCCATTCCATTTCAACGGTATCTGATAACAGCCGTAAAGAGAACCCTTCATGCAAGGCACAGGAATGCTAGTCCTCTCGTGGCCCATTGTCCTGGGATGCGATGCTTCTGGGGTAGTCGCTGAGGTCGGCGAGGGAGTAAGCAAGTTCAAGATTGGGGATAAGGTGTTTGGGTGTACCAGACTTGGCCATGCTGGGTACGGTACTTTTCAGGAATTCGTAAGCCGAAAAAGAATGCAGCCCTCTGAAGAATAGGTTACTGAGAAGCGGAAGTTCCTCATGGATGAGAATCTTGCGTTCAAGAATGAGGGGAACTTAAGTTTGGAGGAGGCTGCCACAGTTGGTGTCGGGGTTTTGGTGAGATTCTGGTGAAAGAGAGTAGATCACAAGGGTGCTAATGGAGGATAGACGGCTTGCCTTGGACTGATTCGAGGGCTGAAGATGTCTCTGGTACCAAAGAAAGTCGATGATAGTTCTGAGTGGGTAATCATTATTGGCGCCGCTGGCGCAGTTGGGTCGTTTGCTGTGCAGGTATGCATTTCTTCCAGTTGAAGATGGCTGTTGAGCTGATGGACTGTACAGATTGCCCATCTATGTGGGTATAAAGTGCTAGCAGCTTGTCCCCCAAGCGCTATTAAGGTACCCTTTGCACCCAACTCTGATAAAAGCATGCTGACAGAGATCCAAGCTTGTAGAATCCCTCGGCGCCGACGCAACATATAGCCATCGCCTCCCGCCCGAAGACCAGCTCAAAGAAATTGCTCTCATCACAGGAGGCAAATTTCTCCGAGTCTTTGATGCAAGTGCTTTCGGTGCTGAGGTGGGCATGGCTGCTTTAGCCAAGCATGGAGATCCAAACGCCAAGCCCAAGTATTTTTCCACCACCAATGATTGGTAAGTTCCTTCTAATCCTCAACGGACTAGTAAGTCCGTACCGAGCTCACAAAATAAAGGATACCAATCGATCTAGTAGAAGGCATCGAAATCGATCTAGTTACACTCGGAGCTATTGGCAAGTCAGGAGACGAGCACCAGCGAGAAGTGACAGCTGAGATTGCCGCTTTCATTCCGCAGCTTGAAAAACTGCTAGGAAATGGAAAGCTGAAGCCAATAGAGTATGAGGTCGTTGGTGCTGTGGGATTTAAGGAGGTATTGAAGGCATTGGACGTCTACAACAATAGGAAGGGAAGTACGAAGAAGATTGTTGTTAGGGTGGCTGACGAATAGGGAAGAAGGGAAAGGGGAGTTGAGAACAAGGGCTTGGCAGAGGCTGTGTTTAGCCTTGATTATTAAGACACGAGTCGAATTGAGTCACATTCAATCAATTACAGACATTTAAGAAGTGCCCACTTAGGTAAAATGCGGTCATCACTGTATTATTATTCACATACCTCGTGACTGATTGTGGCAGGTCTATGGCATCAATCCGCTGTACGTCTACAATAGTACACTCTCGCTATTGCCCTCGAGGCTTATTGACACCCGAAACAACCGTATATGTAAGTTGCCACCCTAGAAGCAGCATAATCCAAGACCCACCATCTCCGCTCATTCCGAGAAAACTTTCAACACCTCCTCGTTCATCATTTGGGTAAACACATAGGTACGCGGTGCCAAATGATTAAAATGTCTCATCCCATGCGGAAAACGTGGATCAGCTGGTGTCCTTTGACCAACATCCTCATCCTAGTCCATCTTCCTAAACAATGTGTAGACCTCTCCATAGCAATCTCTTCCCTTTCCAAAACGCCGTGGCAGAGGATTGTGAACATTCTGATCGTCATCATAGGTAAGGACTATCCCTTCTAGATATTTATCTAAAAGCTCAAATTCAGCCTCATAGTCATTGTCATTGACAAGGTCACCGTACGCACCCTTTCTTAGAAAGGGAGTACCTGAAATGGTGCCAAGGGCTGACCTTTATTCGAACCCCACGAAGGCGCCAATGTATTTAACAAGCTCTTTGTCCCAATAACTTTTCCCTTTGGAGAGTAAGCCAATACGGATATCGCGGCATAAAGTCATGCGACTTCAGGGCATGCCAGGCCGAGATATACTATTCGACTGCCACAGGTTCGGATTATAGTGGAGGCAATCGCTAGGAGTCCCTATAACTATAGACTTAAACCCTGTAAGGCGTTTCATAGATTAAAAGATATTTCTAAGGCATGCCCCTGCAATTACAGGAGCTTGATCGCTAAAGTGCCCATAAGACCTCCCAGTTCCAGCGTCTTGGCGCTATCCGTTCTGCTGCGAGTTTGTAAGCGAATTTTCTTAGTAGTTTAATTTGAAATAATTTACTACGAAAAATAATAAAACTTAATTCCTCTTTAGAATTTCTAAAGTACCCTTTTTGAGAAAACGAAATAAGGTTTTCTTTAATTCCTATAACCGTAATCCACAATTAATATATATCTTTTTCCTATTAAAACTTCTTACTTTTAGATTCTAATTATTAAATAAGATTATAATAATACTTATATTATAATAATACTTATATTATAATAATACTTATATTATAATAATACTTATATTATAATAATACTTATATTATAATAATACTTATATTATAATAATACTTATATTATAATAATACTTATATTATAATAATACTTTATATTATAATACTTATATTATAATAATACTTATATTATAATAATACTTATATTATAATAATACTTATATTATAATAATACTTATATTATAATAATACTTACATTATAATAATACTTATATAATACTTATATTATTATAATTTCTTTAAAACTTTTAATTAAAATTTTTAGCTTTAATATAAGAAATTATTTTATAAAAAATATTAAAGTTTTCTTAAATATAATATAATTATATAATATTTAAAGTATATATTCTTTTTATATTTTACTTATATAATTTATAATTTTATATTATAAAGATTTATATCTTGCTCTTAGATTGATATTATTAAATACTAATATTAAGTTTAATATAATTAATTAAAGAACTTGTTAATAGTAGAAAAGCGGGATTAAATTCTAATTCTGGAACTTATTTACTATTTATTAAAAGAAAATTTCTGCTGCAGTTAATAACCCGATATACGTGAACCCCGAAATGGCAACCCTCCGTTGACTTTGTAAGGGGTAGAGTATGAAACCCTCTCTTCCCATCAAAACCTTTGCCCACTTTCTCGCGTCACTGGTACGTCGTCATTATGTCCTTCCCAAGTAACAATGCCCTGTCCCTCAAACATCCGCCTTTGCATCTGAAGCAACTCAGCATCCCTCCATTCCCTCTCACAAATTCCAAGAACATCTCCCGCTTTGCGCTTATAGAACCAACAGACGATATCCGTTAAGAAGAAATTGACAAGCGTTAACACTGCTCCAGCGGCGAGAATACTAATTATGCCGATTACGCTGAATGCAGCGACGTTAGATGCACGGATCTTAATATTCCGGCAGAGGTTTTGCGACAGGGTGGTGTTAGGTTTTATTAAGAAGTCGGTCGTTCTCTGCCCTGGACCAAGAACCCAGTTAGGTGGTGAGGCATATTCCACTACTCGTTGTTGAAGGATGGCCATTGTCGTGGCATGCATGTTCTTTATTTCTTGTTTCCATTGATCAGAGGGCAGACCTGGGGAGTCGAAAAAGTTGCCACCCATAAGCAGATCCTGTGCTAACAGGATTTCGTTTCCAAGAAAGGCTGTTATACAGTATACGTTACTCAGTTGGGCAGCTTTCCAGACCAGTTCGAAGGTGGCCCATTGGGCGTTGTTCATAGCTACCAGCCCCGAACGTTCAGCGGTCGGCATGATCTCGTAAAAACCCGAATTATCTGTGCAATGAGATATGTTACAATAGCTGTACTGCTCCGCGCATACGAGAACCGACACGGGATGGTCAGTTTGCCACAAGAGGTTTTCTTGCGTTGTTGCCGAGTACCACAGGTCTTCAGTCTTCTGCAAGTACTCTACCTCGCTCACGAGTTCAAGGGCGGTGTAATCTGTGTGAGGTCGGCGGAGCTCCGGGATTATCCAGAAAGTTGATAAGAAATCGCCGGTACTGTCATTTCCTGCAAAGTCCACATCTGACCTACCGCTATTAGCCAAAGTGACCGGGATATTAGTGATAATGCATACCATAAATCATATGCGTTGCTCTGGAATATCAGGGAGTAGTTACTAAGAGCTATCGTAACATTGGATGGTAACAAGGACCCATTGGATAGATGTCGGTTCGAGCCAAGGTAATATTCTCGTATTGTATCGTTAGGCAGCAAACCTGGAATTGCTGTCCAGTTTGTTGAGAGTCTTCCCTCCATATCAATGGGGGCGCAAGTCATCTCTTTTCTGAACTGAATTCGATCACCTGGTTGGCCATTGATCCCCAAATCCTCGTGTGAATCAATATATCCTGTATCGATATGGACAGCGTCATCAAGACAGAGTTCCTCAGTGAATGGACACGTGGCCGTGAAATTGATTTTTGGTTCTAAGCGCGAGCTAGAATATTGTTGGCACATTGCGTTTGCAGTCGATGTATTATCGTAGCAGATACGGGCATATTCGGCGCTAGATTTGATGCTGCGATGATAGGAGGAGAGGAGCGACACATAAGTTTCGAACTGGGTTCTGTCGAACTGGTTCAGAAGCAAATTATAGTCCCCAACAGGTTCAGCCATCCACCCACAAAATGGTGATCGCACCAGAGCTGCATCGTTCATGGAGACAACTCGAGATGAGAATAAACCGGCCGCGCCAATTGCAGCGACATGGAAGAGACCATAAGCCACATACGGCAAGGTCCTCCGCAACGTTTGGTGAGATTTGGGAGACCAAGCGCGTATCAGTTGCGCAAACTTCCATGATATTCCTATCCCCATTGGCGAGTTCCTCAGAATAGCTTGTATTTGATAATAAAGGCCATCTTGAGGCTCACCGCTTGACCGCTGTTGATGGAGAACGAATCGCAGAATCTGCCAGAGTTGATCGCCAGCAAATTTCACAAATAAACCAAGGAACGCGACTAAAAGATATCCTTGGGATTGAGGGATAGTGAGAGTCTTGCCTAGCACTGGTCCTATGCCTGCACGTAGAAACTGATTAGTATTAAGCACTTTAAAAAAACGATTCTTTGCTTACTCCAGTTGGCCCAGACTCCAATGTAGACGGCACTTTGAATGTTTGCCATTATGCAAGACGGAGCCTGGTCGAGAGCAGTCCTCAAGATGCGTAATGGATATATTGAAAGGAAGACAGATATTCGATATTAAGGGCATGCGTTATCTTAAGTTTGGGCATTCGAATTCGAAAGGTCGGGCTTCATAAGTCGATTTTGTGCACGCCACGCGGTGTTTGTTTTTACGGTTTTGACGCCATTATTGATTACGTGCTGGCCGGTCAAGCGAGTAGCTTTGTCGATTTTTCCGAGCGAGTAAATTCAAGTAGAACATCGATATGGTTTCAAGAGGCAGAAATATAATGCGTGAGAAGATTCCAAGAAGTGATAGACATTTGGTGAAATCCTATTTCGCAGTTAGCGATCTGATACTGCTCGTCCTGTTCAAAGTGTGAGATGTTTCTCGGGAAGCCTGTCAGCCCCTAAAGAGCCCGCATTGGAATTGTTTTCGCAAGCCACGATGCTTGGCATTAACCTCATACTGAAGCCGTACCAATAAATGGCTGTCGTGATTGTCGGGTACTCAATAGATATGAATCATGCGTCGAGCGGGGGCCTAATTATCGGCCTGCGACGGCTCTCTTCTCCGTGGTGCAGGATGTCTGCAGGGCTAAGATATGAGCTCGAACGGTGCGTTAAGGTAGTTGTAGAGGGTGCGTCTCTCTCGACTATCTGCATTGATTTTCAAATTATGGTAGCCCTATTACGATTTCTCTGCCCGCGGCCCGACCCTAGAGTGCGGCGATAGCTTCGGCTATGGTGGCGTCCCATGATCTTATCGCAATACTGTAGGAAGGTGATTTCTTGGAATAGAATAAGAGACATTTAGAAATGAAGTCGTCAGAATGGGGACTTGAAGCCCGCGCAAATTGACGGTCACCCCTGTTCGGCGCTAAGCCACCCGCCTGCCCTCTCGCCAAAATTCTCCCGTGAATAAAACGCCCCCTTTTCCCCCTGGATTAATTAGGGTATTAATCAGGGGCCAGACTAACTTAAAATAGAGAAATAGCAAAAAAACCGGCTCTTCTTTAATTTTGATTTGCTATATAAAGATTTAATTATAAGCTAATAAAATCTATATTTTTATTATATTATATTTTATAATTAATATTACAAGCTAAAACTTTATATAAAATTAAATAAAACTAGTAATTTAATTATTTAAATAGAATTCTATAAAGAAAAAATAAAGAAAAAAAGAAAAATTATTAGAATTAATTAAACTTTATTTATAATAATAATAATTTTATTTAAGTAATTATTTTTTATATTTAATTATTATTTAAATCTTTTTAGTTATCTTGAAAAAAAATCTAAAATTATAAGAAACCTTAATATAAGAAATAAATTATATATTTAATAATATAAGTCTTTAATTTATAATAATTATTATTATTTAAATTCTATTTTAAATAATAAATACAAAAGTATAAAAATACTAGTTTTATAATATAAATATATATTAATTATATTAAAATTTATTAATAAAAAGTAAATAAAAGTATTAATATAATTTTTTCTTAAACTTATAATTATTAATATTACGGGCCAGGCCTTTAATATAAAAAAGACTAGTAGTTCTTAATATAAGGAGAATTTATTAAAAAGAAAAGCTAAAAGCGGGCCTTGATTTCTGGAAAGTAAAAGAATATAATTATATAAAAATAAGCTTATAGGATCTAGTATAGGTATTATATATTAAGTATAAAAACCGGGTCTTGACCTACTATAATTAAATTATTTAAAATTAGGTAAAAATACAATTTTTTAGTTTTATATACTAAGTTTTATTAAGCTTAGCTTCTTAATTTTCGATTTTTATATTTCTTTAACTTTTTTTTAAATAGCTTTTAATTGTATTTTTAAACTTAATATTATAAAATTTAAATAAATTATATAAATAGATTTTTATTATTTTAATAAGCTTTGAAATTATGGCTAGTAAATTAATATTATTTTATATTAAAATTATAAATTAAAACTACTTTTTATTAAATTATATAATTAATTTATTTCTAGCTAAAAAATTTCTTTATTTATAAAAAGCTTTAAATATATCTATTAATTTAAACCTATTACTATTTTAATTAAGGCTATTATTATTAAAAAGTTATAAAAATAATTTTATAATTTTAATATTTTTAATTCTTTTTATATTTTTACTTAAAATATAATTTAAATAATTATTACTAATATTAGAAAAAACTAAAATAATTTCTTTTTTCTTTCTTTTTCTTTTTTCCAAATATTAATTAGAAGTATTAATAAAGGCTATATTAATTGAAATTAGTAAATAATAGTAAATACTTATATATATTACTTTATATATTATTATTATTATTATTATTATTATTATTATTATTATTATTATTATTATTATTATTATTATTATTATTATTATTATTATTATTATTATTTAATTAGTTTAAAAAAATAAAAGTTTTATAAATATATAATAATATTTATTTCTTTTTAATCTCTTATAAAATAAAAAAATATAAAGTAATATATTTCGAGATATTAATTAGTTATATTATTTTAGGGAAAGGGGTATTAATTGGGAGTATTAATCTTAAAAGAGCCTGAAAATTTAGTAATTAAATACTTGAAACTTTTGCTTTATATATAATAATTATCTAGGCTCTTTTATACTTTAAAACTAAATCTCTTATATATAAATTTCCTTATACCTATATTAAGAAATTTAATTCGAGAGAAAGGCTTAAGTATATACAAATAATAATTAGGCATTATTAAAACTTTAAAATTTATTAATACTTCTACTCGATACTTGGGGGGGCGAGGGGGAGGGGGCAGGCGGGGGGAAATGCTGAGCGCTAAGCCAAAAAAAAATTAAAAAATTGCCTGAGACACCCCTAATCGACACCTGGGGGGTCGTTTTAGTTTCTCCCCTAATATCGCTGTAGTTCCCTGCATCTGTTCTCCAGACACTTATGTCAGCTCGCCTTCCCCACCTCCTTTTCCTTGTGGATTCGTAATAGTCCCCAATTAAATCCTTCAGTTCGTGACTGCTCGAGTCCCCCACTCGCGTATCAACTCGGCCAGTCGTCTACGAGCTCACGAGTTAGTTACTGGTTTCGTCAGTGGTCGCGGTCATTTCCTGTGAAAGACGACTTCAGCTGCTGTGAACTCGAGGCACAGCTCTTACTAGGCTAACCGTGTTAGGGCAACATGCGAGGTATACTGCATAGAATATATTGGAATGGTGATAAACGAGAGAATACATAAGGAAAACAGTGCCTTCACTTTCACCTCCCACAAAACTCACAGTCAACCTCCAAGCCCGCTAAAATGACCCGCGAAGACATTTCCTTCAAAACAAGTGACGGCGTGACGCTCAGGGGTTGGTTCTATACGCACAACAGCAGGTCTGCATCACCTCTCCCCTGTCTCGTCATGAGCCACGGCTTCTCCGCCGTCAAGGAAATGTCCCTCGATAAATACGCTTCGCACTTCATCAGACAACTTTCTTTGAATATCCTCGTCTACGACCATCGTGGATGGGGAGCTAGCGATACCCTTCCTAGCCAGCCTCGACAGGAATTGATTGCTTCTGTGCAGAGTTCTGACATGTCCGACGCAATCACCTATGCACAATCGCGCAAAGAGGTGAACCTGGAGAAAGTTGGGATATGGGGCAGCTCATATAGTGGGGGCCATGTGTTGTGGGTCGGGGCAGTTGACAAGAGAGTTAAAGCTGTGGTCACCCAGTTAGCCATGATGAATGGGTGAGACAACGCGAATCGTTTGATTAGTCCTGACGCGATGCCACAGTTGATCGTTGGGTTCCAGGCGGGTAAGATTTGGGATTTCTTCATCAACTATGTGGTTTGCTGAAATTGCTCAGATAGACTTGGGCGTGCTGCAGGGCAACCACCTGTGCTGACGCCAGTTGTCAGTTCAGATTCCACAAAGCCAGGTGCCTTATCGACTGCAGAGAGTTTCGAGTCTTTGAGAACTGCGAGGGTAATTCGTTTTGGAAAAACGAAGTCACTCTCAAAAGGTACATGAAGGCCTATCCTCAGAGCGGTTGAATTAATCTGACGGTTTTGCAGCATGGAGGATCTGAGAAGTTATTGTCCCTCATTTCATATCCACCACATCTCTCCGACTCCGCTGCTGATGACCCTCGCTGAGAAGGACACCCTCTGTCCGATTGACATCGGGCTGGAAGACTATTCGCGAGCTTTGGAGCCAAAGGAGCTTCAGATACTTCCAGGGGGTCACTTTGATGGATATATCAGCCCGATGTTTGACTTGACTGTAGAGCGACAGACGGCTTTCTTGAAAAAGACCTTGTGTGCTTAAATGCAAAGCAACACGACTGGAAAAACAAGAACTCGCAGAGCTAAATGTCCCATTGTTTTATCGTGTATTTAGAGTCTCCTCCAATGCAGTTTGGTGAATAATAAAGTCCTCTCTCTCTCTCTTCACCGAGTTTAGAAAATCTTCAACTTTGGCCTCGTACAATGAGATTATAGATGAAGGTCTTCGAGTCAAGACCATCGAGTGACTGGCCTGCACAACTCAACCACTCCTCCTCCATCTCAGCGCGAGACGCAAAATGACCTTATCATGATTAACATCATGTTGCACATGGAAGGCGCGTTGAAAGATGCATCAGAAGTCTAGCGTTTACACTTTCCATTCCTACGAGCAAGGGATGCGATCTTTGGCCCACCACGCTCCTTCCCTATACCGCGGCCTTGCTCTCCTTCAAAAGCTCTTCGCGGTCTTCAACAGAAATTCCTCACAACAAACACCTGTTGAACCGATATCCATACGACTGGCCATCGAGACTTACCATACCACTCGCTACTTCATATACCATTCGCTTTCAATCGATATTAGTCAGGCACATCACCCGTTCGCTACGCATTGTCCCAGCTGCACAGCATACAATCTCTCACAGTGTGTCAATCGCTCTCGGTACAATCATTCGCTCACGATGCAACTCAGAACTGAACTCTTTAACAAGATGCACAGAGTTGAATGTACCAACCCAGGACAATTGTCCCTGCCGAGCCTGCACCACTCCTGTGTCACTGCTGCTCTGCTAACATTGTACCAGTCAACGCTCGAACAATCGCCACATTCCCACTTCTCGATCTCCCAGCCGAGCTGGTACTTTGCGTTTTTGACGTACTTGCGAAGAAGGGTGACTGGTGCACTTTGACCTGTCTTGCGCTCTCCTCCCGCCTGTTGTACCACACCTTGAAAGAACGATACCACCCAACCCCCATTCCACTCGAGCACAACTTCTGGCGCAGCGACGGCGCAGCTTCCGCCTATTTGCATGGCTGCTCGTTGTTCCAGTGTCGACGGATAAACAATGGTTCCGTAACCTTGGCGCAACTTATCAAAAGCTTCATCGGTCCTAGTTGTCGGCTCCTCGACGGAGAGTTCCCTCCTGTTTTCGTCTCGAAGAAGGTGTACGGCGATCAGGACGGCTGTGACAACAAAATTGAGAGAGAGCTGCGTGGAAGGAGACGAGACTTCAGAAGGATGACTCACTACCATAAAGGAAAGGTGAGCTCGGTTATTGTATGTTCCACAATCGGTCTGTACACTCCATCTAACGTGGTCCAGATGACGCACCTGCTGCCAAGTCCGTTTAATAAAGGAGAAGACTGGACCGAGGAGGTCTGGGAGAGGTGTTTGGAGTTTGAAAAGTTGGGTTGGACGAAAGATATGGAAGGATACTTCGGACGAAACATCAGAGCCTGCAATGTCGGTAAGACCTTGGCCAGAAGGATGGGGTACAATGCAACTCGGCGTCAGGCATCTGGCGGTATTCGGAAGGGGGCCGAAACATTATGAGGGTGACTTTTCCGCAGGATTCTTGTCCTAAGGGGTGACTGGACGACCTGATCAGCGATGTTAGTTCTAGCGAATCACCAATCGTTACCACCCATCCTCCTACATCTTGATGGTGCTTTGAGGTCACTGTCTTGCGAGTATCAACTTGCGTTGCACCGTTCAGAGAGTTCGTGGCATGACTTCCAGATCAACGAAACTCTCCTATGCATCCAGTTCACCGCAATACAGCATCGCTATTGAACTCGGTATAGTGAAGGTGCTGGCGAGCCTCGCGAAATCTGACTTGATGATTTTAATCACAATTATACAAGGACTATGAGGCATACTGTCGATAAACTCGACCGTATAAAAAGAAAAAAGCTAACTCGAGTATAGAAACCTTATTCTAAGTAATTGCGAAATAAGTTAAATTTGTTAGATTTCTCTTTAGTGGGCAATCTTCAGTGAAATACCCTAAAAACACAGACGTTTGCGACCAGGCTAGTAAGGTGCGAGGGTTCAGTTGACAGCGAAGAGAATCGTCGCCTTTTGCCTATCGCTTCCCATGGTCGCACCTCTTATTTGCACGCAGTCACTCAAGTTACTCCGAACCATACTGTAAGTGATCTGAACCATAGGGCTGAAAAGTACCCACGTCGTTTCAATAGCACGACTTTGTGTCATGAGTACTTCTGAGATGGACTCCGCGAATCCGCGACTCCGCGCCTCCGCATATGAGGTGCTAGTGCTGACATGATCCCTCAACTTCGGCGGTCCTGTGCCGCCAACAGCCCCTGTCTCATCCCTGCCGCCACAATACTGTCATCAGCAACCTCGTTTTAGCCATCTCAACGACGCTCACAGAGATTGACGACCTCCTAAAACCTCTATGCCTGGTGACGTTGGGTGTGGAATGATCATAAGATGGTACGAGTGAAGAGCGAAGGCCGTAGCAAAGGCTGTGAACGGTGCAGGGCACGTAAAGTCAAGGTGGGAATATCCCGCACCCCCACAGTCCTGCTTACTCACCTTAAACACAGTGTGATAAAGCCTCTCCAGCATGTGCGCAGTGTCTGAGATTGGGAAAAGAATGCTCTGGTGCTGTCACTGGAATGGTCTTCCTCCACGCCGATGTCACTACAGGACTCTCGAAGACAAAGAAGGTCGTACATGCCCGAGAACGCGACAGCCTAAAGGGGGGTTCGTGCTCCCCTCTTGAACCCGATCAATCTTCCCAACGATCTAACTCTTCCACTCCTTCAACTTTTGGAACCCCCAGGGAGGAGGACACTCCCCTACCTTGCAGGTCATTGCCCACCTCCCCTCTGCCCAACACGACGAAAACACTCATGCGTTGCTACTCTCCGGAACCGGCTAGCCTCCTGCCAACACATATGGACAACTCCCCCATAATGACTCGGCAATACATCTCCCACTGGATAACAATCCTCCAAACCGAAGGCCTCCCGTGGATGTCGCGCCTCCCATCACTTCTCACTCAAGCATCCAACTCCTCTTCCTTCGCCATCGAAAGGTGCGTCCTTGCGGTAGCACTAGGGTACCACGGCAAGCTCGTCAATTCCAAAAGCGTGATGGCGGAGGCCTACAAATGGTACGGCTTCGCAATTAGAAAGCAAAGAAGCCAGCTTGAGCAGTTCCACCCTGAAATGAGACAGCCGAGCCTGGAACAAATATGCCTGCCGATCATGCTGACGATCTTTGAGATCATATGTGGAACAAATCTCACGCCTTATTCTCAACACGTTATGGGTGCAGCTAGGATGCTGGAGATTTTGGGTCCGGCGGCTTGCAGGGAAAAGCAATGGTGTTTGATATTCAGGACCGTGAGGACGCAGATGGTAGGTACAATTCGTGCGTTTCTTGAACGAACGCTGATCTGGGTCTAGTTCTCTGTCTCTATCTTCCACCGCGTCCCATCTTTTCTCGCGCAGACGGAATGGCTTACAATTCCCTTCGAGGGGGACGTAAAGCCCGCAACAGATAGAGTCATGGATGTTCTCACTATAATACCGTCCTTCCTATTCCGAGTGGATCGAGTTTCATCATCTTCGGGTGCTTCGGAGATTCTAGCGATAGAGGCCGATGCATTGAGAATAAAATCAGAACTGGATAAAACTAGCTCGAGTTGCTCAATGGAGGGTCATAATCATAGCACTAAAGGGGACGCCGACGGCCTCCCCACCACATCCAATAGCCCAGAGACCCAGAACACTGCTGCAGCGGACTGTTCAAAATTACCAGATTGCCTTCTCGTCTCTTTAACCTTCTACGAAACAGCACAAGCCCTCCTTTGCTGGGTACTCTCTCAGGTCAGCCAAGAATCAGTATCAGAATTATGGGGGAAGGAGTTACTTGCTAGATGCGATTCACTTCTTGATCTGGCAGAACCGCTTCATAGTCACCACCTCAGCGGTATTTATGTGAGATTGGCGTATTCGTTGAGGGTCGTGGCAATTGTGAGCCCGAGTGAAGAGCAACGGAAACGAGTGAGGAGGACTGTGGATAGGTGGAGGTCAAATATTGCCGCCGGCGGCTTTTGTACGGGCGTCACCCTGGCAATGGAAGAAGATAGAAAGGTGGTGAGGATGAATGGTAGTAGTGCACGGAGGATGATGATTGTGGAATAGGGAGCATATATGATAATAAAAGTGACACGAAGTACATTTAGCAGTCTCTTTTCAGATTTGAGTTAAAGCGCCGGAGAAGACTTCTCTCTGATGTGCAATAAAAAAAATAAACTTTTAGGAGCTGCTATTTTATAAATAGAGGATTCCAAGGGGGGGGTTTTTTTTAGTAAAAAAGAAAGCTTAGTATTATAAATATAATCTTATATTAAACTAGGAAGTCAAAAAGAGAATATAGTATTATTATAACTAGAATATAAATTCAATTTAGCTTTTCTTAAATCTAAGTTATTCTTTACTTATTATATTATTTTATTTGAAATTCTTATTAATACTAGTAATATACTTATATTTCTAATACTTGAATATTTAATTAGACCTTAATATAAGAAATTAAAAATGTATTTTAAGTCGAGAAATAACTTAAAAGAAAAATAATATATAAGAGCTAAGTATTTAGTTTATAAAGTATTAAAAAAGCTTATTAATTATATATGACTATTTTATTTAAATATATATTAAATAAGTAATCTTATATAAATTAATTAAGAAAGAATTTATTTATTTATTTTAAAGAATTAAATAAAACTTTTTTAATTACTTTAATAATTATAATAATTAAAGCTAAATTTCAATTCTTAAAAACAAATTTAATAAAAAGCTCTTTAAATATTTTCTATTAAATAAAAAAAGTATATTAGTATTAAATATAATTAAAAGAAAGCAATTATGGGAAAGCGCCTCAAGGCACGCATCTCAGCCTGCTCGTGTATGTAAATACAGCTCCGCACGTGAATATAGCTCCCTATAATCAAGCTACGGTGTATTGCTTAAGAGTATATCCTCACTTGCGCGACCCACGTAATATAGAGCAAGGAGTTGAGCGGAGTCGTGTTTCGAAGGCGCGTGACAGGGTGCCTCTGGGCTATAAGAAAGCTAGGGTACACGTGAAGGAAGCTCCCAGTACGGTAGAGACAAGTTTCAGAGCTCCCAGTTCAAGCGCACTCTCTAGTTGAGTTAAATGAAACAGCGAGAGTGTAGTGGGGGAGTTGCTAATCATGCGATTTGTTTAGACTTGTAGCCACCCATTACATGCCATCTCATTGCTTGAGAGTATGTTATATCATTTGCTAATTGTAGTTGTGCAGCTTCCAAACCTCAGTTGCAAGGAAAGTTAGGAGTTTTGTTGCCAGTCAACTCTTTGGTTTGCCAGTTGCCGAATGCCTCCGCATCGCTACAGACTGGAATATTGTTGATACCTGGAGCCGTTATGTCTGCATCCTGGATTGCGGACAGAGTATCTGTGTTGCTTGCATCCGCCATCGTTCCACCATTTCTATTTCCATTGGCAGCAAACGAATTAACGGCGCTAGAGATACGTCAACTTGATGTATTCCAGGAGGCATATCAGAATTGAGATTCACATACCCCGTGATGATATGATTGAGAGTCACTCCGCCCCAATTTTTACCATCCAAGGAGCTCAATCCTGGCACTAGTGCAAAAGAAGAATCAACACACCCATTTGAATCACACGATCTAGACGTCCCAGAGACCCCAGCTACGTAGTATTGCTTGTTTCCAACGCAGGCTCCTGTCAAGCTGGCTCCGGCAGGGGTGATGTGTATATCGTTGGGTAGAGCAGCACCGCAAGCGATCCCAGGGTCGAGGATGAAGACTCCGTCATCGACGAGACCCCATGCGAATGGGATCAAGATTGCAAACGTAGATTTGAAGATAATTGCCTGAATATCCAGGTCAGTGGGCACTGTTGCCATCAGGAATACGCCATCTTTGATCATCGAGGATAGCAAAGCCGTGTTACTCCCATCGAAAATATTTTGATTGGTGAGGTCTATTGTCTTGAAATAACCTTCTGTTAGTTGGGCTAGTGTTTCGGCTACTGTGTTCAACCTATTGATTGCCTCGGAACTGGAAGACCATTAGTTACTAATCATTAACGTAATTCTCTGAATAGTACCAGGGACAAGAAGATTGTGAGAACTTACGCAACACTGGAATCCTTTATTATTGTAATTGAATTCGAAACAAATGCGTTTACCGAATCCTTCAGGGTTCCCAAGGCCTTTGGGTTTAGCTTAAAATAAGGCAAATCTCTCAAAACTAAGAATTATCTGTTAGTATGTTCAATTCTTGGTTATCCGAGATCTCTGCGTGACTTACCCGAGTTCCAGATTGGTGCTGCTGTAAGTGCGAAGCCAAGACCGAATATATCAAGGGCAATCTTAAAGAAGTCCGGCTCGACCTTAACAGGAGCGAAGGTTGAAGTGAAACCTCCAAGCTGATCTGCCAGTGGTCCGTGAGCGTTGGTGACTCCAGTGTAGAATGCCTCCAGTAACTGTAAATAACATCAGCCGGGTCTCTTAGTAATTCGAAGTATGGGAGAAGGTTCCACCCGAGGGAATGATTAACGAAATCCGTACCTGCTCGATGTGTATGAACGAGTTTAGAATGAAGTACCCGGCTGGACCACTATCGGCGCCAACAGTGTCATGACACTGCAGATCGTTTCCAACGCAGCCATCAAATGCATTAGTGGTCTGGCAGTCCATAGCTCCTGGTCCATGAAAGAAGTCGCTGATAGCTTCTGTAAAACTTAAACTCGATCCCTGCCGGTGGTCGTTGTAGTGGTTCAGCGCATCTGTCCAAGCTCCGTCTGCACCAATTCCATACCAACGCAGCATCGGGTTTTGATCCGTGGTGGTAATCCACTGATTGGTGCAATTTATTGTCCTCCAGTTTACTCCGCTTTGGCCGATAGTTGAGTACTGAAGAAAGTCGCAGTCTGGTATTGAAGCAGGGCATGCAGCTGCGTTCTCGAATGTTGCGAGGTCAATGGCCCAGTCGGTTGTACCGGCAAAGTTGAGGTCTTTGAAAGCAGCGATCCTTCGAGCCTTTTCATTGTTGTCCATATAAGCCACCCATTGCACGGAATTGTAGAGGAGTATGTTGGAGCTGCTTGCGCTATCGTAGAAGGCTTTGGCGGTTGGGTTGGTTGCAATTATTGCGTTTATTTCTGCATTTGAGATGTACCCAGGCTCAGCCGTACATGGCCCCGCTGCATATCAAAGTAAGCGTCAGTAAAACTTTACGCAATAGATTCAACTTTGGATAACGTGGGAATGAACTTCGGAATATTGGGCTCACACGTAGCTCCCGAATCAGGCCCAACAAATGTACACATTGGTCCCGTGCAACCAGCAGTTGTCCCCTTGAAAGAACGGCCATAAGAAGTCACGCCGACAGCAATCTTGTTAGTAGTAACACCAGCTTTCGTAATCATGGATAGTGCGTCGAGAGTCTCAGTGAAATTCACATGAGATCTAAGGCAGTTTCCATTGGCACAGCCGGAACTTGAGAAAGTATTCCCATAATCCCACTGTCCGTGTAAGTCATAGGTCATGTAAATGATATAGTCGACCACAGCGGCCATCTCGACGATCGGGAATCCCTTCAAATACCAATAGGAAGCTGGAGCAGCAATCGAGACAGTCTTTCCAGCAGGAAGAGCAGCTCGTACCATTTTGAGGAATTCGAGGTAGTTGGGACCATCGGTTGGACTCCCGGGTGGAATGCCAGGGATATCTGGTGCTCCTGGATTTTCATTTGTTAGTTGTCAATTAAAGTGCCAGCTGCCAAAAAATTCAAGAAGAAACAACTGACCTGGGTACTCCCAATCGAAGTCCACACCATCAAGACCATTAGCAACAATGAAAGCCACGACATTGTTCGCAAAGGTCTGACGATTCGCACTGGTAACACCCGTTCTAAATATAGGAAAACTATCCACATCGGTTGAGAAGCTCCATCCACCAAATGACAAAACCTTTTTGAAGCTGCCCTGCGGCACTGCTACGAATTTATTAAACTGGGCAGCGACATCAGCCCCAATAGCAACTTTGAAATCGGTAGTAATGGACCCAAAAGCGAAATGAACATGAGTATAATCATTTGCTCCGAAGAAAGTGATATCTGAAACGTCCATTTTGAGGCAGGAGCGTGAACCAGTCCAGCCTTCATAATATCCAATCCGCATGAACTGGTTAACTGGTGGTGAGACGTTAATGATGTTCACTCCACAATTGGAAATACAGCCATTGGCTCCTGGTGCAGCAGTTCCTACAGGTTCCATTAAAATCAGTCATGGGTAGCGGCTCTTTAATATGCTCACCAGGAGCTCCTGTCATAGAAGTTGAGATAGTACAGAACTCCAACGTGGTACCGCACTGTCCCCAAATATCACAACAAGCATTAAGCGGACAAGGATTGAGCGACGCCAAGGAGATCCCCGCAGGAGGTGGTTTCGTACCCGGGACTTGAGGTCCACAGATGGCAGCATCAACAGGTGCAGGCATTGGAGGTGTCCCAGTACTCAAGCAGATAGCCGCACCGGCCTGGAGTCCAGCACAGCCTGTCCAGCCCCATGTCTTGGTGTTATAAGCCTCGATTTGGGCGACGGTGAGAGTGCCATGAGCGGTTGCAATTGCAGCGCAAAAATCTCCTGGGGCGACCTTGTAGACGAAGCAAGTTCCGCTAGCGTTTTGCTTGGGTGTTAGGTCGGGGAGTGTGCCTGCGGAACAGCACACCCGTTGGCCAATCTAGAGGGATATCAGCAATTGTGCGGTGCAAGATTGGTATTGGGGGGGTTGACTTACTTGAAGAGTAGAACATAACGTAGGGCTGGGGTTGAATGTTGTGAATTGAGCAGCGGTAACGCCACACTTAGTAGCCAAAGCTCCACATGAATCCCCAGAGACAACAGTAATGGTACGACAATCCGCGCGAGGATCCAATTGTGCTTTAAGGACAGAAGAATCAACAGTAGAAATATAAAGCGCAAAGGCAAAGGATACAAGGGCTCCTTGCATCTTGAATCGGAATAATGATTTCATTTTCGGCACAGCAGCATGAAAATTTTTAGAAGTCCGTCGAGTTATTAACTAGGAAAGAGCGGTTCAACAAAGGAACAGAGACAGTATTTATCCCTTTTCAAAACTCGTGTTGACCGCCCTTCGGTATACCTCATACCAGGCTATAATCACACGGTGCCGCCAATTTGCACCTCAGGAATGCCCAAATCCAGCTAAGACTCACGATTGCTTATCGTCGTCACAGTCTCCCCTCAAAGATTCTTTTTGCACCCCTCCAACAAGCCATCATCTTTTTCTAAATTCTTCAAGTCATGAGGTTGCGGGATTTCCCCCCCCCCCCATCTTCCCCTTCAGAATAACGGGGCATCCACGTTTATCTACTCACCTTTCTAACTCGTCCAGATGACTACAAGATCTCTGCGAGCACATTGTACTATACCCTCTTAACCTATCAACAGCCGCAAACCTTAGCACACATATCCCTGGAAAATCTGACATCTAGGGCTACCACGAAAATTGAAATGCATCCGTTGTCGGCCGCCAATAATACATTCCTCGTCCCACAGCCTCTAACTCACCCCACGATGGAAAAATATGCTTAGCAATCACTTTTTCTTACTCAAGAACCCTAGTTTTGCAGGAATGCGCTTGGTTAGCCATCCATTCGATGCCCTATAGCTTTGATTCTTTTGACACGTGTGAGGCGTACTTGGCTGAAGGACATTTGATGGAAATCCGCGACCCCAGATCGTAGCGGCCGACACAATCTTGAAATCACACGAGGAAAACTCGGGTGTTCCTCGATGGCTTAATCCCTCTCCTAAGTCAATCTTGCTGACGATCTAAACGAGGTACGATTGAAGTTGTCAGTTCGAAGCCAGTGTGAGAAAGAAATACTCAAGGTATTCATACTACTCATGAATAGAATACAAGTAGCGTAAAACTCCAAAAAAAATTAAAAAAAATGAGTAGAGTAGAATATATATTCATGAATATTCATGAATAGTCACGTGGAAGTCACGCGATCTTAGTAAATTAACCTATATTTAAATTTTTAAAAAAAGAACTAAGGTGTCTATTAAGTAGCCTTAAATAAGATAAGCTAGTACTTATATAAGGCTAGATAAATACTAATTCTCTATAATAACAACCGAATTATTTTTCTTATAATCTTGTTTTTTATTATTTTTATTATTTTTCTTCTTTTTCTCTTGCCTTTTTCTTCTTTTTTAGCCTCTTCTAATTCGTCTTTAAATAACCCCCAACTTTTTAAGCAATCTATTCTCTCAAAATTACTCTCATTAAGTCTATTACGTAATTTAGTTATAATAAAAGTGCTTTAAGAGAAGAATCTCTTGCTAGGAGCCGAGAAAGCCAGGATTTCTAAATATTTTCTAGCTATTATAGCTAAAGATCTCAGTTTCTTAATTACTAATTATTAAAAATAGGATTACTATTATTATTAAGTTCTTAAGTCGAGGTAATTCTAGAAGTATTATCGAGCTTCGGTTCGCTTACCACTTGATTGGGTAGCGAGGTGGCACTAGTGCAAGAGTGCCCGGAGCTCTACTAAGTAAGGCTAGCCTAGCACGTGCAAACGTCACGTGCACACTACTCAAAATATTCATGAATACCTTGATTAGAATATAAGTAGAATATAAGTGGTGGGAGTATTTGGTGAATAGAATATAAGTAGGGGCCACTACCCTACTCTACTCTATTTGTGACGGCTGGTGTCACATGGTTGGTTTCAGCCAAAGGGGTTGGTTTCAGCTAAGGTTCCAAGCTATGGTTCAAACCAAGCTCGCTTCCAAAGCTCGGCGTTTCAGTAGTCTTGGCCATACCTACTTATCCACTGCCACACCTCACTCCTCCTCCTTAGCTTTAAATTCTCAAGACATAGGAAATCATTGATCTTTGAGCCTCGTTCCATTGTTCTGTTCCTGCCGTCACACTATTCATTGTTCACACTGCGCGAAGCAAGTGGAAAATATCGTGACTTTTGAGATTAAGGGAAGCAGGCTGGAAGTGCCTTTGGAAGACGTTTTACGCTACAATTCATGGGCAAATTATACCCATGTGGAACTACTCGCACACGTGATATAAAAATGGCAAAAACTGCACATCGGGTTGATAGGAGCCGTTCACAAATATCGGAATTAACCAACAAGATGCTCTTATTGGTCAATTCAGAGCTGTTGATTAATGAAATGTATAATCCACTAATTAATATCGTCTTCCTGATCTGGTAATTGTCAAGTCGTATATAGTGATTTTTGATAATAGTTCGCTAGCTGGCATCTACTACACTGGAGTAAAGTATTAAAATTAGGCTTTGAGTGTGCTCAATAATTTAATTGCACTTCCCCATTAGGCAATTACAAAGCCGTGTTCAAAAGAAATGGGGATGGTTTCACTTAGTAAAGATAGCAAAAGAGAAGTTAACTAAGGCGCTTTCTCTTTGCTCTTCTCTTTGCTTTATTCCGGAGGCTCGTAGTAATTAACCCCCTCTTGGGAATAATCTTTGTCTGAGCACTGATTATTATAAGACTAATATAATATACAGTCAATATAGTATAAAGTCTCCAATACACCTATTCAAAAACGTTACAGGGCAAACCCATCGACAAAAATCAAGGTAGTGGAGCGGGGGAGGCTGGCCGATAACACTTGACTCGTAAGACCCTGTTGAGTAGACTGTATTGCGAAGACGAAATTATATCCTTAATTAGGACTTTATTTAAATGATTAGTCAATACCATACCATTTACCAAAAGCGCGATTAATTTATCAATTGGAGCGTCGATGGCAGCTGCAAGCGGCTGCCGAAGTTCTGCCGCAACAGTTCTTAAGGTAATCCTTCAGCCTCGTCCACCTTGCTCCACCTTACGACACCCTCAATGCCTCCCATACCCCTTCCTCATACCCCGCAGATAGTAATTTACTACCAAACACAGCACAACCCTGATGGCACTCCTTGCTCAATCCTGCCAATTATAACCCAGCCCAATATTGCGGTGACACACGTCAACCTCGCCGCGATCCATCTCAATGATCCTCCAGGAAATATACACTTGGTAGACACTCTCTTTCCTCGACCTGTCTGGATAGTCTTTGCTAACCCTAGCAGAATGACCATGTTCCCTCTGACCCAAGATATCACACGCTATGGGCTGAGCTTCGAATCCTCCAAGCATCCGGCATCAAAGTCCTGGGAATGCTAGGTGGGGCGGCCAAAGGCTCGTTCACACGACTCGATCTCGACGATGCAACGTTCGAAGCATACTACATCCCCCTGCAAAATTTGATACGAGAGAGAGGACTCGATGGCCTGGATCTTGACGTCGAGGAGCCAATGACGCTCGCGGGCATAATACGGTTGATTGATAGACTAAAGACAGATTTCGGAGAGACATTTCTCATCACACTTGCTCCCGTAGCAGCGGCATTGATGTCCGACAAACCTGAGCATAATCTGAGCGGGTTCAGTTACGAAGCGTTAGAGGTCATGAGAGGGAAGCAGATTGCTTGGTACAACACCCAGTTTTACTGTGGGTGGGGAGATCTCAGCAAGACAGATGGATACGACTTCATGGTCACAAGAGGATACCCCGCGGATAAGATTGTGATAGGGATGGTTACCAATCCTGGGAACGGAAGTGGGTGGGTACCGTTCGAGATATTACAAGAAGTCCTGATCACTTTGAAGATCAGATATCCCGGATTTGGAGGGGTGATGGGGTGGGAATATTTCAATTCACTGCCAGGAGATAGGGACAAGCCATGGGAGTGGGCTGCTTTCATGACACGGAATGTCAGGAATGGCTTGCCAGCCGTTGCGCAGGATTTACCGATCGCCAAGGCGTCGGACGAGAAACCGATCCAATTCTTAGTAGTAGATGAAGATCCAAGGTCGCCTCAAGACGCTCCTGTACCCAAAAGCTTCGAGTATTACTCAGATGGCAGTGTCGAGGAATGAAAATCTTCACCTTCTGCCTTGATCTTCCCTCTATCCCTCCACTGATCCGAACAGGATCGAGTTGGTCAGAAATTGGTGGATTTTGGCATGTCAAAGTAAGTAGATATGTCCCATGTTGAATAAGCTAATCATCGAAAGAATATCTCCAATCGCCAGGAGTAGCCTGCATCAAAGCCCGGCTTTAGATGGAAATATCACCAAACCTCGAACCCAAACCATAATCCCATCGCACCTACTCTTCGCCGCTGCGTCCGTCCCTACATTTCAGTGCGACGGTAAGAGCCCCAAAGCCGTGTTGCGATTCTCAAATATCGATCTCCCAAAGAGAACCGTCCATCTCCTAGAAAATTATGTCTCCTTCCGCCTCATAATCATCCCCCGGTCTAATCTGGAGTAACGAAACCCGTGCCACTTGCAATGCTAAATACCTATGGATATAATTCTACAGAGAATAGAGCACATGATAAACGCTGTGAAGCGTAGTTTGCCAACATGCAATTCAGGCTATTCAAATCATTACTACTCAAATTCCTAGAGTTACTGCCTGGACCAGGTATCTTATTTCTTCCAGGTTTGACATATCGCTGCTAAGCATGGAAACCGGAGAGCCATTCAATAACCAAAGTACCACAAACGTTGAGACTCTAATTCGAAAAGCAACTCTCGACTGCGCTTGATTGACTAGCTAAACCATCATGGAGATCCTGGTTCTCTCCCAAAACGCCAAAACCCTCTGTGAGATCGCAATCCCGTCTGGTATCTTAAATCGTGACCTTAAATTACCTCCCCAAACCAGACTGGCAAACTCTCCGACTGCTTCAAAAGAATTTCATCAGTTTGCCATCGAATTATCCTTCTTCAGCGAACTTTAGTTCAGCATTCAAGCCGAAGACCTGAAGTGTTCCGAGGAGTTTGCGCACACCCACATTGGGCAAAGCAAGTCACGACCATCATCACCACACCGCCCTTTCCTCTAAGGACAAGACATTCAGCGAGCTTTTTTCCCAGGCAGAGACTCTCAGAGAGCTGTTAGTAACTAACTTCAACTACCCTGAAGGATACGACCCTGATCTGGAGAGAGTGAGGTTGAATGAGACGACGCACCAGGGGTATATCTAGTATGTACAGTACAGCATGCTGAAGTCAGTCAGTTGGATCTTTTGAGTATTGGTATGCAGAGACTACCCAACCTATCCAAATCACAGTTGGGATCTACTTTCATATGTTTCTTAGGTTGGGGACCTGTGGAGGCGTATGGGAACCAGTCCCGGTCCCCTGCTAGACGGAGTTGGGGGCAAGCCTGGCCCGCTCCACCTGATCATCAACCGATTTCTGGTCATGTAATCCGGATGATCCCCTCTGCCACGTGGGAAGTCAGCACGGAGTCTATGCAATATTTTTTTGCAACGGAATATGGGGAGTTTGAGAGATTTGAAGCATGATGTCTAGTTTGATGCGTGCTTGAAGGAGGCGCGGAAAGCCTTTGTGAGATCACCGACTCGTTAGCTCCAGATCCGCAGAGACTTGTGGGAATGGAAATGATCCAGATCCTCACCTGGCTTGCAAAATCGATACAAAACCTAACGGAAGAATGTTCGAGCCACTCATCCTAGAAATCACGGGAAGGCCAAAGAACCGTGGACGCTCATCTGGACCCTTTTATCTGTGGCAGCCTAGAAATGCTTCGTTCAAACAAAGGAAATAGGCATTTCCTCTTTCCAGAATACTTACGATTGCCCATCACCTTTCTTCTACATACCATCTTCAACTTTCAAATCTGATTCACTTTCAGGACCAGAAGATTTGAGAACTATCCGTCTTCTCGATTCACCCATAAAAGAGAGCATTCTCTCTCCGACCTCCACCCCGTCTTCCTCAAACCGGCTTCCTCAAATGCGACAATATCAAGCACCATCGCCATTACAACAACTCAAACAGAATGTCACCGAGGAAGGGTATCGCCGTCAAGAGGAAAGCTCCCGCAAAAGGAGACACTGCGAAGATGCCACCTGCATCGATGGATGCTCCAAAGAGAGGTCTCGGTCGCCCCGCGAATGAACCCATCAATGAGGATTCGGATGAGGAGGAACCAGCGAAGAAAAGTCGTGGTCGTCCCAAGAAAACGACATCTAAGAAGGATACAATCGATGAAGATGCCATGGAGGTTGATAGCGTGGATAGCGTCTTTGGGTCTGCCACGAAGGAAGCAGGTCGTCCCCTGGAAAAGAACGCCAAAGCAGCTCTTCCGAAGGCTTCGGAGGAGGAGGAGGAGGATATCGTCGAGCCACCGACCACAAAGAGAGGTCCTGGCCGCCCTCCTAAGAAAGCAGCCATGCCAGCTCTTCCCGAGTCAGATGCCGAGGAGAACATGGAGACACCAACGAAAAATCCCGGTCCAGGTCGCCCTCCCAAGAAAGCTCAATCTTCTGGGCCGTCTGGCGGATGGATCTACGTCAAAGATAAAGGCACTGCAGTTGAGTCGTCTGTCGTCCATGCAGGATTCCCCTGGGTTTCGACCTTCACTCTCGGCAAGTAAGTTCCCCCTCCTTTTCTTTCCATCGTTACTCCCCTCCAGCTCTAACATTACGGAATCTCAGAGATGACTTAATCAAATACCGCACACACGCCCACCGCATCGCCTTCCTCATCCTCTCCGGCAAGGCTACCTTCTTCCAAAAGGCCAAATCCGACATTGCCGACCGCGCCCTCTGCGGCATCCACGACAAGCAGAACGAGATATTCGACATTGCCAAAAACACCACGTATCGTACTCAGCTGCTTTCGAAGACTTGCAAGGTGGTAGAGGGTCATGAGGCGCTTGATCAGGTGACGAGAGATCGTTGGATCATCAGTGGAGATATCAAGTGGGACAATGGTGTCAACTCTGATGTTGTGGGGAAAGTTGTGAAGAAAGTTGTCGATGATGGGAATGTGACTGCCAAGGTTCTAGCTGCGCATCGGGCGCAGGAAGATGAGAGGTCTCGCTTGGCTGTGGAAGCTGAAGCTGAGGATCAGGATGGAGATGGGGAAGAGGAGCTAGTTACGCCGAGCTTCAAACATGGTGGGAGTAGAAATGGCGAAGATTACAACAGTCTGTACGACGCGGAGAGCCAGAAGGCGAAGGAGGAGCACCCTGAGACCGACTACGGTGGCCCGAATTCTGACGTTCCAAAGAACAAAATGGATCCCGGTGACGATGGGGAAGAACATCAGACAAAGGAGACTCCGAAGAAGAAGAGGAAGGGCCAGAGTGGAAAGGGCAGAGAGAAGCTTCCAAACAAGTGATGGGTAGCCATGAAGCACAGATTGATATTTCAGTTTGGAGGATTGATCTCTGCAGGAAGCAGCACACAGACTGGTTGAGATGTGCGAGGTACTGGTTGGGATTGCTGAGTTTTAGTCTGCAGCTTTGCTTTAGGCTTTGGAGCTTTCAATTTGCTTTCGAGGAAATATCCTCTTCTCTAGTTTTCGCCGATAAATGAGAACGAAATCAGAGTCGACTTCTTCTCTGCATGCCACACCAGTGACTTGCACGCGAGATCTTCTCACTTGATAACAACCAACCAACAACCTTACTAGTCCCTGCCTTCTCTTCTCTCCTTACTCACCTCAACATCGCTACTCTCACGACCCCAGACGAAAAACCCCTGCCACACTCAGAAATGGCGACCGGGCACCCCCTCTACAAAACAAAATACTCCCTCTCCCTCCCTGATCCAATGATACCGCAGCCAAGACACCATACCGTGCTCTTCGTCCCTCTCACCTCATCCTCCGACTCACCCGGCACCATCCATCATGTAATCGGCAACCTCGTCTCAGGAATGGCATACGCCTCCCGCTCAGAGCCGCCACCAGAGGAAAATGAGATGTTCTTTAGTCGAGAATTGTTAGGATCCGTGTCGACGGATGACTATCCAAAGAAAGCTGAAAAGACACTTAGGGAAGTGCCCGTGCCTCCGGTACAGAGGAAGTTTAGGTGGAAACGATGAAGATTGAACGGATCAAGAGTGATGGTACTTTCCGTAAGGAAGGAGAGGCGAGGGATAGAGTGTGAAAGTGTACAGAGTGGATCGAGGAGTTTGTCATCCCCAAACTTCGTTCAGTAGGATTGTTGAAGTTGAAGGAGGCGGAGAGTGGAGGTGGACAATAACAGGTTGGGGGGCGCAATATGACCACTGTGGATGAAGCAAAAGGACCGGACCTCGTCTGCGAATCCTTGAAAGCATAGATTTTATATGTATAAGAAGAGAAGTCGAGCTGCACTGCAGCATGATGGGAAAAAACCCAGACCCAACGTCCCGCAAAGGCTACCAAAGCATCCGTCCAACGCCCAAACACCTAATGCTAAAACAATCCAACATCTCATTTCATCTCATCGTCAAATCATGACGTTCATCAAACTACCCACTCTTCCTCCATGGCACGATCTGAGCTCGGCGTCAACGTCCTCTGCACACCCATCCCCAGCCTCAACTTCCCCTTATAAGGCCGCCTCCACTTCCCCTCTCCAATCATGAACTTCGGGCTGCCCACGGGACTCGCAAGAGATGTCTTGAACGGATTCTCGCCCTCTCCCTCCTTTCCCATCCCAACTCCCAGCTTCGATAATCGAGATGGAAATTGAGAAGCCCTGAAAGGATTATCGTTCGCCATTTCCAGCCCCAGTCTCGACAGGCGCTCTCCGCCTCGCGACGGAAGCCGAACATCCATGCCAATCTCCTTGCTAGTGATGAAGTACAGGTTCGTGTCCGAATATACCGATATCGAGCGTTCCGTCATCGCGAGTGAGGAGCGGAGATGTGCGCGTCCGGGAGGAGGGATCGAGACGCGGAAGGTAGGGTGTTCCTCCGGGTTCGGGGGGAGCAATTTGGCGTCCAGGAGAGAGAAGTGTTGGAGATCTTGGAGGCTGTTGCGGTTGGAGGCGATGGAACGCGCGATGAAGTATTCGTAGAGGGGGAGATGGGAAGTGGGTGCCGCGTCGATGGATTTGCGGTATTGGCGTTTTCGTCGGGGGCGGCGGTATATGAGGAACGCGAGGGGGATGGAGAGAATGAGGAGAATGAGGATTGTGATGGCGGCTATTATGCTGCCATTCAGACTGGAGTGGGTGTTTGTTGGTGCGTCTTCGAGACCGAGCGACGAAGAGGCAGAGGTTTGAGATGACTGACCGACATTGGTTTGCGAAGCAGCGGAAGAAGCCGTTGTTTGAAATGTCGAAGGTGGCCGTGATGTCGGTCGTCCAGAGGGTGCCGATGTTGGAAACGGTTTGCTTACACTGAGAGGCGGTGGTCCCAGTCCGCCACTACCATCACCTCCTCTTCCCCCTCTGCCACCGTTCGGACTGCCATTCATTCCGCCATTGCCATGAGTCGAGAATGGGCTTCCATTGTCGCCCATATGGACATTAGTAATTAAATATCTCGTAAAGGAAAATTGATTAGATAAGAGAAGCTGCACCTGATCTACAGGGCGAGAACGGATACGCCAGCGTCAAGAAAGAAAGAGCCGAACGAAGCGAAGCTTGACCAACATCAAGATACAAACGAGGCAAGGGGGAAGATGAAAGAGAAATATTCCGGAGACATTTGAGAGGAGCGTCACATTGAAACAACTGACGCGAGGCTCATGTGGAATAGCTGCACGCATGAACCACTAAGGACGAGCCGTTGCATAGGCAACAAGTTGAAGAGTGTGTGGTTTTAGATGTTGCATTTGTAGCGGTAGTTGAACGCTTAGAGAGGGCCCCTTCAATGCCGATATATATTGGCCACGGTGTCATGGTGCATTCAGGGTTTGAAGGACGTAAGTCGTTTCACGCTTATTTCAACAACAAAAACATTGGGTTCGGACACCTAAATCAACTGTCTAATGAGTGCTCAAGAAAATATTATTTTGAACACGAAAGAAAGCACCAGCGATTTCAATCATCAGGGCACAGCTCATTTGGATTATTTTGCCAATAGATTGCACGTCCACCCCGTTGACAGAAGCAACTCGAAAGGCCGCAAAATGCATGAAATATGGAGTAGATCCACAAATGGCCACGAAAAGGAGATAATAAAAATTTCTGGCCTACTACTTCAGCAAATGTTTCTTCACAAATGCGCCTCACGAGAAAGTTTCAATTCAGCTGGCGGTGATGATTTTCAGTCTAACCGTTGGTCGAATTTAGGAGCTGGATCAAGGAATGCCCCCGCTGTCGAATCAGCAACTGTTCCTGTACGAGAAATACGGGCGATGAGGCAGCTTTGCGCTCGGATTGGACCCGGAGTGCATCGCCAGACAACAAGCGTTTGGACCAGGAATGTCCGTATTTCAGCTTTACGATCATGTGACCTGCCGGATAAACAAAAAAAAAGTCCAATTGGTTTTGATTCTATGCACGGAGATGTCTGGAAAGCGGCCCGGGCCTTTGAAGGGGAATAATGCCTGACAGAAATGCCATGGATTTAGTTCGCATTCTGAAGGTGCCACTCCCAAGAGCGAATGCACTCGCATCTTTTCGTAATGGACGTCGCGATGATGTCATCGAAGCAATTGCAAGACCTTGCAACGGGCATGAGCGTTTCGACCTAGCCAAGGAAAATCCGTAGGAGGGTGCCTTCGGATGAGTCTAGAGGTCACAGATGCCTCACGGCAGAGGTCAGTGTGAGTCTGGCCCATAATTCCAGCACCATGACGGCCAATATCACCATCCACGGTACTGGTAACCAAATATAGCTCGAGCTGTGATGGCGGACGATATTTTCCGGATCCGCAAGGCATCCTTTTCACATGACTTCATCGGCCTTTGGTCTCGTGCTGCAAAACCTTGGAAAGGCGCGCAGGAGGTTCACTGATTCGTTTGTCTCCCAGGAGGCGGACCGGCGGTGGCTCCGCATTGGAGAATGCAGCAATCGTGTCGATCAGCGAATTGGTCGTATGATTCTGCATGAAACATGAACACTGACGACATTTGCAGGCGGGAGCATCAACCCCATGAAAGAGTAATTGGGAATGGGTTTAAAGGCGAACTGGAATTGCTCGAACAAGAGAAGAATACATAGAGAGATAAAAATGCAAAAATGGAGCAGGAAAAGAACAACTATGGACTAGCTGAAATGGCAACGGTCGTCCCTGCGCCACGGCTTGCAGGGAAAAAGGAGAATTCGCTTGGCTTTTGAGGACGGAACCGGGTAAGAGCCACGCGATCAAAAATGCCATCACGAAACCTCATCGTCCCCCAGTCCTTTCTGATCGAGCCGAGGTATCCTCCGTCAACTTTTTATCACTCCTTAACCTTTCTTTTTTCTTCTTTCCACTTGTACATTCTCATCTCCCAATACCCAAAGCGTCCGCAACGCTCTCTACGAACCTCACGATCTGACGTTTTACCCCTGAATCCCATTGCGCACAATCGACACCGCTGAAATGACCTCATATCTGTCACGTCTGAGCCCCGTGCCAGGCTTCCCCGAATACACCGGTCCGCACAAGGTCGGCACCATAGACGTCGAACTGCCAGTCTCTGAATTGGATTGTCCCAGTCCTTCGCCCGATGAGAGCATCTCGACCGTCCAGTACCGAATTTTCTATCCGTGCCAGCCGGATGCGAAAGGAAAAAAGAACGTCAATTGGCTTCCAGCGCCCCAACGAGGATACATCTCTGCATATACCAAATTCCTGGGTGCTGGCTCTATGCTGGCAGACCTTATTTCGTAAGTCTTCTCCTTCTGTCCTCCAGGAAAATGCTAAGTGAACAGATATTTCCCAAACCACCTCTCCTACATCTCGATCCCCGTGAGAAAGAACGCTCCGCTCCTCCAACCGGATACAGAGAATAAGCGATGGCCCGTAATGATATTTTCGCATGGTTTGGGCGGATCAAGGAATGCATATTCGCATCTGGCGGGATCAATTGCTAGTCATGGCGTTATTGTGATAGCACCTGAGCATCGAGACGGATCGACACCAATCTCCTACATTCGCGATGTCCCATCGAACAATTCCATAACAGAGAAGAGCGCCGCGCGGAAGAGCAAGCGGACAGTCAACTATGTCCGTCTCTCTCACACACCATCACCAGAAGTCGAAGCAGGACGAAATGCACAACTCAAAGTCCGACTGTGGGAACTCGGTGCCATTCACGATAGCATCCTGAAGCTGGACGTCGGCGAGAAACTTGAGAACCTCAACACCTCCTCCACATCCCTCTACCCATTCAAAGACACAATGGACGTGCACACACCCGGCAAGATATCTTTCGCAGGCCACTCTTTCGGCGCAGCCACCGTCAGTCAATTCGTGAAGTCAACCTTCTACTCCCCCCACACCTCCGAAGCACCCTCCTCCTACGAACCACTCTTCCTCCCCTCTTCCCGCTCCGCAATCACCTCACAAATAACCCCCCAAACCCCCCTCATCCTCCTCGATATCTGGTGTCTACCCCTCCGCGCAGCCTCCATGAGATGGCTCTGGGACCACCCCTTCCCCTGCTACACGCCCTCCGGCCCCGGTGGCTCCGCACTCTTAGCTATCGAATCGCAAGCCTTCTACAAATGGAGCGTTCACTTGAAAGCCACGAAGCGGCTCCTATCACCGAATCCCTCTACCTTCGAATACAACTACAGCAAGGAAGACGGTGGGAAGTGGATCGAGCCCAACTTCTTCTACGCAAACGCCAGCGCGCATCTAAGCCAATCCGACTTCGGGCTGCTCTTCCCCTGGGTAACAAAGCGTTTTCTCGCCGCCGAGGAACCAGAGAGGGTAATGCGGCTCAACGTCCGGGCAATCCTACAACTCCTTAGAGCACAAGGAATCACTGTCTCCGCAACGTCGGCGAAGGACATGGAGCTAACGGGCAAGAAAGGCATGGAGACAAAAGACGATAGGTTGATTTTGGGGAAGAAGGGAGTCAGGGCTTGGAATTGGATTAGCACGAATGTGGAGGAGGATTGTAAGGATGCCGAGGATGAGGTCGAGGATTCGGAGACGACGGAGCCGGGTGAGGCCGTTGTGGGGAATGAGTTGATGAAGCATACGGATGGGACGAGTGAGCAGCTATCTGAGCTCGTACAGACCCCTGAACCTGCGAAGATATGAGCTTCTGAAGACGTAGAAGGGAGAATGAGGAGCGATGATGAACCTGATGACATTTGATAGAGCTGCATGGAGTTTTAGAATAGACGGGATGGCGTGGATTTGCATCTGATTTAGCGTTTCCTTCGTGCTGTTAGTTGGAATTTGGCATACCGGGCACTTGCCAGGACTGGGTTTTCGTTGCTTTCTGGGAAGAGTATGTATCATATGTTTAGATGTACAGTCCCACTTGGGAAGATAGGAAGATAGCAAAGATAGGGGAGAAAATTGAACGAAGACTTGAAAATACATGTGGAGTAGTGTCTACATTGATGGTCATTGTGCTTTTAGTTCTTTTTATTGCTGTTTGACTATAGTACAATACTACTCTACATATTCCTTGCTTGATGCATTGTAGTTCTAATTCGTTGTCCAAGTTAGTGAGTGTGGATGTGGTGAAGTGTCATCGATTTTGTTTGATGCTGTGGAAGCCGTGGGATGGGAAACGAGTCATTCCGAGGTCGCGGGAAGAGAATGCTCTCAAATCGAGCCGATGCACGATTCGAAGCATGTGAAGTATTTTGCAAGTTCAATGTGTCGCCCATGACTCAGAGTCTGGTTGATGTCGAGACTTCAGTCGAAGTTGGCAGATTGTGTATTGCCTGTCCTGTCCTGTCAAATTTCGATCAAAAGTTTCTTTACACCGATCTTGGGTGCAAGCTGAAGTCGATGGCGTTGTTCTCGGATTTGTCTCCCATGAAGCCATATATTTTTGTCGCCGCGGGCGTGACGACAAGCTCAACACGCGCGATCTTCGTGGGGTACAGTGGACCTGGGTCTTTAGCTTGCGCTTGATGGATTCTCACGGAGTCCATGTAAAACTGGTCCAACTGAAGCTTGTCCTCAAGAAAGACGTCGTAGAGGCTTTTCCCCTCTTGCCAATTAAAAGGCTTTGTGGTCTCCTGCAAATGGGCCAGCTCGGTGTCTGAGTTCAATGGGTCGGTGGAAGGATCAAAGATCAAAACCTCCTTCACGCCACGTAAACGTAGATGCAGCGAGAAGAATGGCGTAATCCGCCTCGGCGCCCAGTGTACCAAGACTCGCTTGACGGCATGACAATCTTCGAAATCAACCTTATTTGTGCAATCGCGACAGAAGCAGACTCCGCATTCATTGCATCCAACGTATAGATAGTCGGAATCGAAGTCGAAATATACACGCGGTTTCGTAAGTTTCGAGTCGAGGCTGAGCTTATACCAACCTAATGCAACTTGGCGAGACTCGGCGCAGACGTGTAGCATGGCAGGAATTGGAGTCTCAGAGTACTTTGGTCGACGAATGTCTTGAATCCATGGTGCATCATCTTTGAGAAGATCAGACCCATTTCTCCATCTTTCCACCCAGAGCGGGGGGTCTAAGAGGTCCTTGGACCAAGAAATGCGAACAATTCGAGGATCAGGCCTAGCGTACTTCCAAATCTTGAGTCGAAGTTCCGTAGGAAGACGACCGAAACATGCGAAAGTCTTTAAGGGAGGCGGAAGCGCTGTCTGTTGCAACTGTGTGTTTATCAGCGGCTCTGTGGACTTCGCCTTGGATTTCTCCTGCTCTGTGTCCAGCTGCTGTTGCTGCCAGGCCCAGTTCCCAGTCTGATCAGCATTCGTTCTAATGGACCATTAGCACGTAAACAATGAAGAATTATGGCATTGACCATACCTTTTCTCGGTCGTCCATGCCCTTATCGTTCCAAGCGTATTGCCAGCCAGTTGGTCCGCAAGTCCATCAATATCCTCGTCCAGAATATGCTTCGTACGGTGTTGCGGTGGCTGCCAGACCTTGGACTCGGTCGCGTGGCTCAGTGCCTCGTAATAAATCAGATCAGAGACGGGTTTCTCCTTTGCCTTGGTAGGATCGAGTCGAGTCCGGATTCGCGGCCTGTTCTCAAGTTAGCTATCTCTGACACGAGGTGAAGAGTAAAGGGGGGGGCATTTACGGTCCATCGGTATCACCGACGCGTTGGGTTGGCATTGCCCCTGTATTGTTGGGGGAAGAATTACGATGCGCCTGGGAGCTTGGGAAGATCAAGTCTGGACTTGACGTTGCCGCGAGATCGAGATCGAGGGCGGCGCGAGGAAGGAGCTCCAGGAGAGCAGTGCCTTGCGGAGTGGGTGCAGTCATTGATGCTTTCTCGATGGTCTTTGTGGAGTTGCGAAGAATTGAAGGGGTCGTGTTGAGTTGGCCATATTTATTTGTGGATTTGTAGCTGAGAGTCTGTTCGGCAAGTGCAGCAGTCGAGGTAAAATTTAGGACGTTATTGGTTCACTTTTGACGCGTATCGCGTGTATAAATCTGCAGAAATTTATTGTATTAAAGTGAATCTTGCAGTTGAAGCTATCTTGTTCCTCGAGCAGAGAAACGCGCTAGAGTTGATTGCGGGATAGGGTTCAAGTCACAGAATAGAGACAACGAGGACCTTCTAGGCTTTGCATGTTTTTATTTGCCTAGTATAACTTTGAGAACATTACACAGAATATATTCACGCTTCTTCTCCTATGTAGAAATTCTCAGTCTAGCGGGCAGACAGTACAGTATTCCGTGGTTCTGGCCGTCTTAACCTCCTGTGCCTGGAACGAGAAATCTAGTTTCGTGTTCTCAAAGACTTTCTCCCCGAATCCACAATTCTGCATCACGTTGTGGGTTCGATTCGATTCCACGGTGCATATCCTCTTCGGCCTGAAGTTCTTCAAACCCGGAAGTTCTTTCCGGTGAAGCTTGAGTTCCTTGTAGACGTCCCTCATACCTAGCAACTTCTCAAACTGGCTCGAGGAGAATGTATTTGGAGAAAGCGTCAGATCTGAAAGTATAGCACCCTCCTTTAACTCCGCGGAGAGGGGCCCTAGAAACAAGATGCTTTTAGCAGACTCGTTGCACCATCTTGTAAGATCTAGAAGCCTGACAAAAGGATGTCTTTGGTTGATTTTGTCCTCGTGGATCACAACATTTCGCATGGAGCGCCGGTCTTTAGCCCAGCGTCTTGTGTCTTTAACCCACTCGTCCCACCTTGAAGTAGCACGATCGGGAGAGCTGGAGCCTGCAAGTAACATACGCTGATTTGATCCGTAGTACATGTAGTCCTGCCGGGGGTCGATGTACGTTCCACCATATCCACAACTCGGACAGAACAGGAGTATATACCACCGCAAAGCAAGGGATCGGGACTCGTAGCAAGCATGGAGCAGATTTGGAACCGGGGTTCGAGAAACCAGGTGCTGGAATCGACAGCCTGCGGTCTGGCTCGTCGATCTAGAAAGCTTGATGATCCTGGGACTTGGTCGTGCGAACTTCCATATGATAAGCCGAATTTCGGCCGGAAGGAGAGAGAACTTCGGGAATGCGGCACTTTGCAGGTGTCAGTGGGGCAACGGCTCGGTCTGTTATGCTTTTGAGACTTACTGTGGTGCTCTGAATGGACTTCTAGCATCGAGGGACAAAAACGCGACGCGGACGACAAGCTGATTGATCGCCTCAGGAGTGTTTGCCAGCCTCCCACCTCGTCAACCTGGCAGCTCTTTCAAAGGATTGTGGAATGAATCAAACCTCAAGTTCTCAATTCGCGGTTGTCTCATGTTGACTCTGGTATCGTAAGGTCTTTTCACAGGCAGACGAACTGCCGCGGAGGAAATTGTCACGTCCTGATGATCCAGCTTCCGGAGTTTCGATCTGCTGCATAGTTAGCTTTGAAAGAGAGCAACAGAAAAGTGGGATCGGATAATATATCCATACTTCCTGGTCGGTACGGTGCCGTTAAAGAAGTCCCTGATTTCGCTTTTGTTGCCCAACTTGCGTTTCGTCATCTTGGAGGAGGCTGTTGGCGTCTGTCTCACTGGCTAGAGATCGGAGCTGACGCGAGAATGTTGCGGAGGGGGAAGCTGTAACGCGTAGCAGACATTGAATAGAAGATCAAGATGTGTGTTGGAAATCTGGGAATGCAGCTCTCCGTTGACAATTGCTTTGCAAGGTGGTGAATGTTGAAGGTCGATTCGGAGGATGCGCTCGCGAAAAGACGTGCCTGATGGACTTGCGCAGCGCCCAGCAAATGACGTGGTGTGGAGGACGAAGAATCGGGTTTGGGAAAGAGATGGCAAGAACGGTAGGAAATTTTTCGGGAAGAAATAAGGTGGTGACTTGGAGGGTTAAAAGTGAATAGGGGCTTGAAGCGAGAAATTCTGCCAATGAAAGCAGAAAGCCCCCGAGATCGATTTTCTGTAAAACTAAATTTCCCCAACCCTTTGGGACAACAGGATTATAAATGTACTCGGCTTTCTGGGACAGCGGGATTGCAAGTGCATAGCTGCAGAAATATCCTTCCCCATATCCGCGGTCATATTCACCAACCCTGTGCAAAATTGACATTGTACCAGCGAAGTAAAATGTACCACGCTCTGAGCACATCCTATCCGTTTCTGACAACATCGGAAAACCTGACTGTCTGGATCTTCGTCAGTGACCAGGGTCGGTGGGCATAATCCTGTTCTCCCCTTTGGGGTATATCAAGATAGGTCTCATACAATATCCACCCTCTCTGCCAATTGAACTGGAATGTGACGGGCTGGAATTCTGATTGTTTGGCGTCTCCCTGGGACATCCCTTCTTCGTGCAGAACTAACAGTGCTTCGGTAGCAGCAGGGCAGTATCCCCCCGTAGACAAAAATTGTTCCGAGAACTGTGAAGCCCCTTGAATCACCCTGGTGACTTTGCACCTCGCTGTATCGGGGATTGAGTATAGAGAACCAACTGAGCGATTGGGATGATTTTGGCCTATAAAATGGGATGTGGGCAGCGTCCGAGGCAAATTCAAAGTATATGCGAGCAGTCTTGCGAGATCCTATGGTAGGACTGAATGTAAGTTAGTACCAGTTATTTGCGATTTGACGTGGTTCTTGGCAGACTTGGAGTAGTGTCAGGATTTTTGAAGTCGAGTAAACTATCTCCTCGCCTTCAACTCCATCAGTATTTTCGAAGATTGTAATAACTCGCGCCGGTGGGTGAGCGAAAGTCCAGACCATTCGACTGATTTCGGGTGGTAGTTTCGAGAACAACGCGAGCCCCTTTTGTATGGGCTGGCCGATGGTTTGCAGGATGGGGCTGGTCATCGTTTCTCCGAGAGTGCCAGCCCTGGACTTGAGGGACATGATTTGCGTTTTGAGAGACTCGTTCTCTGTACCCAGTTGGAGATTTTTGGCTTTCGAGTGCGGCAGGCCGATCCTCGATGCTGGATGGACTGGGCGAATGTTCATCAGTTGCTGGTACAATCAAGCGGCTGGCTTACATTTTGCCAACGGACTGATTGTCTTTGGGAGACTCGGGAATTGCGTCAGATTATTCTTGTTGGAGGTGGTGAAATGAAGGAGTGGAGGTGTTGTCGGAAGGGAGGTTGGGAGGCGTCGAGGAGGGAGGAAGGGAGGTCTCAAGCGAGGTAGGGGCAACAACTACGATGCCGAAATCAACGTCAAAGAAAGTGAATAATTTGAATGTTCATATTCTTCTGGAGCAACTAAATTTGGTTGTCCATTTCCCCCTTGGGATAATTAGATGTATTTTTTTCAATGCCGGGATTTGTCGACTCGTGCAGTGGACGAAGCTGAAGGGGCGCTTGCTGTGTGGAGAAGATGACCAGAACCGATTTGCGGGAAAACGTATGAAGGTATACAAGATGAATTTCTGAATTTCGTCCCGATTTCCAGATTATGTCCTCACTTGTTATTTCCTCTTTCTTTGTGCTTGCTGTCCTTTTTCTCTAGATGTCTCTCTCGATCCTTCCTCCTCACTTTGCCTTCTTTTTCTGCTTCGTCTTTCATCAGCATAATTCGATCTGGGGACAGTATTCGCATACGCTGTTTCGTCACTGTGCCTCTACTCCGACCATCTTCAACGTTGTTCTCGAGCTGCAACGAGTTATGAACCTGGCCCTTCCCCTGGTGCTCTCTCTCAATACCTACATTCTTCTTCTTTCCTTCCTCCTCTCCACCAGCTTTTGCTTCACCTTCAACTTTCACAGGTTCTGCAGCCTTCTCTTCAGCATTCCCTCCTGCCGGCTTGCCGCTTCCTCCTCTCATGCCCGGCCCAGCACGCATTTCCTCACATACTGACACCAAATACTCGCTGCCTCTCCCACTTGGCACCTCGAACTTGTATTTCGGCTGTACAAACACAATCTTCTCTTCCACTTTCGGAAACTCGAATTTCTCGGATATTATATTAACCTTCTCTTTCTTTGTCGCAGGGTGAAGTTCAGGGCAGGCATAGTCGTATATCCATTCAACTACGGTCATTTATTAGCAAAGCTGGTGCTGGGTCGGGTAAGAGAATACTCACCGCCATTTGCAAGCTTGGCGCGATAATACAACTTCATCTCCTCATCCCATATCCAATCAGACCATTTTTGCTCAGCCGTCTGTGGCTTATGTTCCCCCTCTTCATGCCCGTCGCCTTTCTTCTTCTCCTCCTCTTTGGCCTTCAGCTTCTCTTCAGGCTTAGCGGATTTCTTCGGTCCGGTCTTCGACATCCTGTGCAACTACAACACTGGACAAGAACACAGCAGATCAATTGATCATCAATCGCCCGGAAACTTAGGAACGAGAATGAGGCGGTCCAAATATAAGAAAGTGTTGGGACCCAGGTCCATGCCACGCTGCACCCCATCGAAACGCCCTGCTCGCTGCATCATCACCCAAGAGCAAACCCACCACTCCCACTTTAACTTCCTATCTCCACCTGCAAGCCTCTCCCAAACCGGTAGTTTGCCAATCGGAGAAACACGAGCTGCATAATATATCCCACAATTCAGCCAAACATCGCACTACTTAGTGCCACGTACGCTGCAGTCCAGGTACTGGTGCAGAGTCAGATCACGTGTTCTGCAAGCCTACCCAATCTCAAGCTCGCATCCACGCCATGGCCCAAGGAATTAGTAAATAGCGCACATGTACTACTCGGGCGTGGCGAGGCTGAGTCGGTTCGCACAAGGCGGACAAGGCAGAAGTTTTTGATTGAAAGCTTTTTGGAAAAAGTATGGCTTGATGCATTTCACCGAGTTTGGTGGCCAATTGGACAAAAGGAGGCTGCTCGCAGTGCATCCGCGGAGATGGTTATTGGCTGAATCATGCCGGAAACCTCCGACTTTCCAAGTGGAAATATGTAGGTATTCACTTGGAGGATAAGGCGGGATGTGAGGCTTATATGACAACAGGGTGTGTCTTGATATGGAAGGAAAGGGGGGGCGGGGGGGGGGGGGGTGTGAAGACGAGAAATATGTTTTAATGAATATCACGTGCAATGACGGGTTTCTGAGCTTCCAAAACGGGCCTAGCCCACCCTCTCGTGGTGTCGCTAAAGCGCCCCTGAAAGCTCTGCACTTCAGTGAGGAATTTACCCAATCACCCCATGAAATCTATTGCAATGTTTTGGAGGTTGACGACTTGATTTCTCAGCTCACGCGGGGTAAGCACTCTATATATACATCCAGTATATAAACTACCGTGTACCAGCGTACACCTAGTTCCAATAAAATCCAAAGAAACACCACCTCAAGAGAATACATTACCTCCAGATCCCACTCATCCCGTATTTTACTGTCTATAGATATTCGGGCCATGTGCATTCTGCCCGTACCCGAGCTCTTGCTGCAGCATTTTCTTTCCCATGCCTCCTAACGAGCCGGCTCCCACTAGTCTGTGCGTACAGGCCTTCAGACACACTTCCTAGCGAAATCGCGATGCGAAATCAATCAATTTAATTAGGAGTTGACCACCCTCTACGCTCTGCTAATATATGCACCCAGTTCTCGTGCTTCAGAATTAATTGATTAATCCGTTCTTGTGGTATTGCGTCCCATTCCTCCGTCACTGCCTGCTCCATCTGGGCTACCGTAATGGGTTGGTGATTTCGTCTGTGCAGAGACTGCTTGATTCTCCGCCAGCACTTCTTAATTGGGTTTATATTAGGGCTCATAGCAGGATGTGGCATTAATATAATACCATACTTCACCCTTTATTTAGTATAGCAATTACTAGTGGACTTATATCCGTAAGCTGAATTGCTATCTTTTATAAAAAGAGGCTCTACTACCGGGTAAAATAGATGGGTAACCAAGGCGAAGGCATTAATAATATCCTCCAGATATAGCGCGAGTATTTGGGAAAGATAATGGCATTAAATAAAGGCCTCCTTCTTGCCAGATCCGCAAAGAAATAGTAAGGGACTCTTATATCCATATCTAATTACCCCTCACGCATTAACTAGTACCGTACCGCCGCAATAAAACTGGTACTATATATACGTCTCGTATTGACGCTCCCCCCTCTTTCTAGTTACCTTCTCTTTTATAGTTCTTTTGCCTATTAAGAAAGTAACCTCGTTTAACCAGAGCATCTTTAGGCACTCCGTATACCAAAATATATATACTATTGCCCAGAGATATTATACGATTACTTGGGCCTTTATGGTAGGGTTTTTGATATGCCGTACAATAATAATACCCTCTTTGCTTGAGCCTTTGCTCCAGGGTTGAAATAGAGCATTTGAGCTCAAGCTCGGCACAAAGGATAACGTAATTAATAATATAATACTCTCACGATTCAGAGACATAATTAATAATATTGTTAACTTCGCAATCTAAGAGAAGGAAGGCAGGGCCTTTGCAATTTGGTCTTCGCCGTTCTAGGTAATTATAACTCAAGATACGTCGAACTAAGCTCTCATTAAGGTAATATCGCTCCTGAATCATTAAAACTGGGACATGGCCAAACCAGTGCAATTGGCGTATCGCTTCCTTGTGTTTTGTAGGGATCTCGTAGCCAGGAAGGTGCTGAAAATCAAGAGGCGGGGGCATGGTAGTCATTTTGATGGTATCATGAATCAATTTTCTCTTCCTTGAGTTCCGCATCAAGTTAGTAAGCATGCTGCTCTTGCTCAGGTGCTAATCACCCTCGGCTCACCCTCGGCTCAGTCGACTCGCCTGAGTAACCTGAGCACCTTGAGCGCCTTAAGCAGCTCACTTAAGTAGGCCTAATTATCTTAAGTAAGATTAACTATATTATAGTAATATACTTATTAAATTTCTATAAATTTCTATAATTCTTTTTAAGATAAATATAATATACTAAAGCAGTTAGCTCGTTTAGCGAATAGGATATTTAGGAAAGGAGTGGAGGAGGGGTAGCGCAGGCCTAAAAGGGCTTAGCGTGTACAAGGGTAGGGCCGTCACTTTTCCGCTCACTTCCGCGTGTTATCCCTTACTAGCATCAACGGTGAACCTCATAGAATCCTCCAAATCTTTCCGATTAGTGAGCCTCTAGAATACGATGCCTTGTCATACTGTTGGGGACAAGAGGACACAATAGAGATGTTTCTATGTGGCGACGAACAAACAATTCCTGTTTCTCCTCACCTTTATACTGCACTATGGCCAATTTTAAAATAATTTGGCGACAAATATCTGGATCGACGCGATTTGCATTGATCAGACGAGCGATAGCGAGAAAGAACAACAGGTTCCGAAGATGGATCGAATTTACAGCAATGCCCGGCGGGTTCTTATCTGGCTGGGCAAAGCAACAAGCTCGAGAAGCCCTTTTCAGAATACCAGCCTTTTCATTGAAAGTGCTCATTTCGAAGAAGACAGCGATCTCGCCATGGATGCTTTGGCTTCTTTGAACTCCAAACTGGCGAGAATATTTGTTCCCATTGGCGTTTCTGATGCCCAATTCCCCACGTACGGTCTTCCGCCTAGTACTGCTCTAGTGTGGCGATGTATTGGCGACCTTGTTAGTAGACCCTGGTTCCGACGACTTTGGGTACTTTAAGAGGTAGTCCTTGCTAGGGAGATTGTGGTCATGTGCGGGTCTAAACGGCTGGCTTGGGACGACCTATCGCTATTTTGGTCCTATGCTAAGCGTCTCCGATTTGAGCCTTTAGTTAAGTGTTCCATTATAGTGAACCATTCCGGTTACGAGAGGTGGACTGCTATAGACGAGATTTGCGGCATTCGTCTGTACTACTCCAGAGGAGGCGTTCCATTTGCACATCTATTGGAAGCGGGCCGTAATAAAGATTCCACTTAAGCTGTGGACCGTATTTACGGGCTACTTGGGCTTGTAAGCCAGGAATTAAGGGAAAATATACAGATTAATTACTCCCAGGCTCGCAGGAGAGAGTTTTGGAGATGTTATCTTAACGCCGCTAAGTACCTTATCAGCCTCGATCCGAGCCTTATATTGTTGTCCCTATCGACTTCAACAGAGCATCCCGACAAACTCTCATTGTGGTGCCCGAACTTTAACTCTCGACAGCCAGAAAAAATACATTTCAGGGAAAAATTAGGTTAGAATACAGGTTTCCTACCTTGGGAAACTCAAAAGTGTTATATCACGACTTGTCTGGCCACAACTCTAATCAATGTCCCCAGTTTTAGGGTTGACGTTATTAAAGATATTATTGGAGATGATACTATTGATATAGAGCCTTTTTTGAACTTGTTAGATTTTGAGAATAAGGAGGCGTGTTCGCGAGTTGCAAGGCGATTTCTTTGCTGGGAAGAATAATGCTTAAAGTTATCCCAGGCTTCGTCTAACGACAGACCGAATTCGGTTCCTGAGTTGCATTGGTGAACCTTAATTGCTGATTTGGAGCTTGTGGGGGCGGTTCGCTGCTCCCCTGCGAATTTGTAAGGTGCAATTGGGTATTCTAATCTCATGGATATGTGGAGAGCAGTAAAAGGTGGTTTTGAGAGTTGCAAAGCTCCGTCGATCAGTGGTATGGAACTTTTGGGCAATTACTTAGATTCTTTGGAAGTATTACAGGGAAGAACGTTTTTTAATACTAGTGGAGGACGTGTAGGTCGTGGTCCGAACAATGCGAGGTCTGGAGATATCCTTTGTATATTCCATTTGGGGCGGCCGTTGTACGTTCTCCGGTACAAGGCCAAGTCAGGACTTGCAAAATTCGTTGGAGATGCTTATGTCTATGGGCTAATGAACTTAGAGAAACTGCCTCTAAATGTAAGGGGCAAGGACGAAATATTCGTTATAGGATGATATAAAGGTTATATTTAAATATAACTGAAAGCTTTTACTTGGAATAGAACCAAATGATTAAGCATAGCTTCTGTTTTAGCAAGTGGTCGGTTTTCGACGCCGCGCGCCTTCGTAATCTGCGCGTGCGCATACTGTTGTCTTACTAAAACACCGCGACTATTTAAGGGTAGGCAGCTCGAGATCTAGCAAATCTGCTCTTTCTCTGATTACATTCTGGTATCGCGATGGCAGAGTCAGATGATACAACAGCTCAACAGTCCGTCGACCTCAGGGCTGAAGCAAATGTGTCACTGATGCAAGAGTGTGCTTCTCTAATGCCCAGGGCGATCGATCAAGTAGCAGACTCTGTAGAATCTGTAGCTTAATGACAATCGCTGCCCTGCGGTCTCGAAATGGATATTCTCACCACCCACAGGCAAGGCGCTTGAAGGAGGAATACAAATCGCAAAACGGTTGTCCGCTGTGTTCCATAATGTGGGGGACCCTTCTTAGGACAACATCTCCAATTACTTACGACTACCGATACATGGATGTGGTTCGTTGGCGCGAATAGGAATTCGACCAAGTCAGAGTCTTCTTAAACCCCAATAGTAGCACCATTTCGAATCTTTCCACTGCGCGCCTGCGACACTTATTGGACTGCTATCGTGGGACGAATTTTTGAAGGAGTATGGCCTCCAAGCTGCAAGAAGACAACTTCTGCTTGATGGAGGTCTCAAGACAAACGCCAGGTACTTAATGATAAGTATTGATCGTGGTGGGTAAATCCCCCACTTTCAGCTGATGTAGTACGAGGCCTCCGCTGCTGCGCTAAAATCCTGCGCTGGGCGGCCCTACGCAAGTTCCGGGGCCAGCTTGGATTTTGCAGAGACCTCGTTTCCGAGCTCTTAGGGGATAATATATTAAGGGGGGAGTATCTTAAGGGGGGGAGCTTTTACTATTATTTAAATAGTCCTCTACGGTTAATGGGCGAGTAAACTTGCCCTTAGTATATACTCGCCGTCCAGCCTAGCCCGGGCCTGAATTAAGTGTTCTAGCTGCTCCCTGGTTGCTTTTGGCCGTTGCATAGCTTTTTGCTTTGCTTTTTAGACCCGGTTTGCTTTAGTATTCCGTTGTCGGCAAGTATTACAGGTTAAAACCCTGCCAAAATCTATAAGAGGCTTATTTTGATTGCAAGAGGAGCAGTATTAGCCCGTAGAGACCCTCACAGTAGTCCGGTCCCTTCTGAAAACTCTGTATTTGCTCCCGTGAGAAGCACATACCCTCTAATAATACCCGTCCTTCCCTTTCCCACTGCTCTCGTGCCTCTAACCACCGCTTCTTTCTCTTCTCCCCCTGTATTCTAGCCTACAAAGCTTTCTCCACTACCCGTCGTGCCCATATAAACCGTTGTATCGGTCTCTCCTTTATCAGCTCCCCCCTCCTTTCACGGTATATATCACGGTCTCTCTTGTAACATATATAACACGTAGAGGCCCAACAGTTATCGTCTTATAAACTGTAGTCTATAATCGACCGGAAACACTTGCACTTAGTGCAACGGAAGCGTTCAAGCGGAAGGGAAGGGTTCTGCCGCTCCTAATGCTGTGTCTGACAGATATTACAAGGGCTTTTAGTATGTAAATATACTAAAGGGCAAGAGCTATACATGGTATATGGCGCGTGAGTATAGCGTATAAGTATAAGTATAATATAAATCGTAAGTGAAACGTGTGTTTTGGTGTTCCTGCATAGGCCCCTTTTATTAAAAAAAAATCGGATCACGTGGCGGTGACCTGTTTCCGCGGAAGATAAATCAATATTATAGAGAGATCATATCCGCTATAGAAGTTGAAACTAATAAAGCATAGCCTTACTACTTGAAAATTTTATACACAACAAGCAAGTTAGAAATCTAGATTCGAGCGAGGCTATTAGCATGATACAATCTCGGATTAAAGGTATTCGAGGGAGTCGATGAAAATGGCTGGTGAAAATGGCCGAACTTGGTGGCTCTATCCGGGTCTATTAGCACTGTATATAACTGGGATCGTGTATATACGTACCCAATTGCGTTGGGAACATTTCTGAAAGCTTCTGGGTGATTTCTCTCATGCTAGTGATTATCGCCGACCGCTAAGAGTCGCTCAAGACCAGACTTTGCGAGTCTGACATCAACGAATCGAGTATCGGGGGCTGTAACCAGACGAAGAGAGAGAACCAAGAACTCTATTGAATCATTCCTTCCAAAGAGGGCTAATCCACTTCCGGCCATCTTCAAATCCTCGTCAAGCTATATCTAGCGCTTACGCAACAGTACAACGCATCTAAGATGTAAAGCTAATAAAGAGTACTGTAAAAGCCTGAGGCGAAGATGCAAAAGTCATATACATGCGAAGAATCTCGACCAGTGGGTCTTAATTAGATCCAAGAGCAGAGATTCGGTCAAGATCAGGATGCCATGGCTGATGTGAGATTCCAGCCACTTAGCCTACGTGCCGTTAACATTCAATTTAATATCTGGGCTTAGTTCCTACTGAATAAGTCGCGAGTACATTGAAGACAGACAAATTGTTGATTTATTTGTCCAGAATTAGGATACTATAGGTTCATATGAGACTCTGACCAGTAAACCTATGTTTTATTAGCATTTATTCTGAAACTAGTGCTATGGATCCTATAGATTACAAGTTTTGGAAACATTCAGGGCAGATATGTTCTTTACTTTCTGTGATATCTACTACTATATTATCGTAATCGATTGGATACCCCGAGAAGACGGGAGGATTGTGTATTCTGATCTCGATATAGAAACTTCGGGCTACTTCTCGAGATCTTTGTCCATATACAAATTCCGCTCCGAAACCCCCAACATTGTCTGAAACTCATTATCCTTCGCAATGATTTGGATAAACTTATCTCCGCCAAATATCCTATCAAAGATTTTTTGCGACATCGTCTTGCTCGTCGACTCGAAGTTCTGCTCTAGCCGCGCTCGAGTCTTGGAGACAAAGTCTCCAAGCTTCTCTGGGAAGGTTGCGATCTTGTATCCAATCTAATCTACAATGAGAGGAAACAAAACCCACACTATGCTTGGTTAGTTAACGAGGAGTATATAGTATTGATAAAAACTGCGGTTAATGATTTTATAATGGTAATATGTGCTCTTGATAGAATTTCCTTAAAAGCTAGTACTTTGGGGAATAGTTCACGAGAGAAGAGAGAATACAAATCCTATTGAAAGCGCTGAAAGACCTGAATGATCTCGGGCTAAAGGCTACATAATTCGAATCGTTGTTCTCTTTGGAGAGTGTTTAGCAACCTCAATCCACGCCTTAGCCTCAAGCGCATCAATTATTGGCATACAAACCTCATTCTCAAACCTCTTCCAGTGCTCATCCCCGAGATCCTTCCACTTGTTTGTCTCAGTTACACGCGTCTCAGGGACAATAACGGATAATTCCCCAGGCCTCCTCACAACAGCAACACCGATACGTCGATATTCGCCGTCTTTCGAATCAATTGATTCTAGAAGTAGAAGATTCGCGGCTCCTGTCATAGATTCTATCCCCTCGTTCTTGTCTTCTTCTGATACGCCTTCTGTAAGCGCTATCAAGAAAGCGGCAAATCTTTGATTTGGGTGTGAGGTATGTTGCTGTTCGAACTCAAACGTTGCGTTGGATCTCCCGTTCAGCAGCTGCACGGTGAATGCATGTAAGGCTGGGTATTTGCAAGTCTCTGAGTCCACTTTGTTGCTTTTGGGCAAGCTCTTGTATGTTTCCCAGGAAGGCGATATATTTCGCCAGTACTCTACTGACAGGTCGCCTAGCGGGAATAGAGAACCCTTGATGGTAAGATAGCCAGACTTAAGCTGGCCATACAGATCTTCAGCCAAAGGCTCAAGATAGATCTTGACAGGTGTTGCGATGTTCTTGATGGGAATATCGTCACTAATAGCAATATTAGACATCGTAACTCGCCCACCATTGATGCCAGCCCAAGACCAGGACGGAGCTCGGTAAGCAGTCGGTCTCGTAAAGTCCATGTTTGATGGCCCGTATAATCTTTTCTTGGACTTGTCAAGCAGGACGCCCTGTCGCCACCAACAAAGAGACTGCAAAAGCTCGGACTCCCACATTCCAGCGCAGTACTTGTCTTTCGTTATGTCTGCAAAGGCACGGGCTACACCTCCAAGGGCAGGGAGTATGTCGGTATCCTTGGCGTAGTTTCGTCTGCTGTATTCGAAGATGATCTCATGCCATCGAGAGTAGGGGTTCAGATTCAAAGAATTTTCCATGTTGTACTATACCAATTAGAGTATGTCGTCATAGTTGAATTGATATCCGGATGTTGGACAACTTACACCTGAGCTTGTCATATATTTTGGCAACCACCCAATTCGACTTTTCTGCGTCTCGAGCGCACATACCTGCTTGAGGAGGCCAAATTGCAGGCCTCGATATACAGCATTTGCTCTGTTCTTCCAAATTTTGTTGTGGAAGAAGTCTTTGCTATCAAATAGATGATCCATCATCACCATATGACCACCTTCCGTAAACCGTCCCCTGCTGCATTCCCACATGACTTGATCCTTACGGAACGACAAGCTCCGTGGCGCCAATAGGCTCTCTTGCAAAGTCCAAATCCGCCTCTGAAGTGGATTCGTGTATGACATATCAACTGCGTTACAAAAGCTTGGTCGAAGCCAAACGGTGGACTGCTCCCCACTATCTCGGAACGGCAGCTGACAGGGTTCACACGTGAAAGGTGGCCGAGGAGCATAGATCCCGGCAGCGGTGGAGGGGGACTCGGAAGCTATAATGGTGACTGCAGCGCCAGAGTACACATCCTGCATTCGCGCGGCTTCAACCCGCCAGTCGGTGGCGGAATCTTGCAATATGCATAACGCATCGATCCAAAGATACTGCAGTCCCAAGTTCTGGGTAATCCGGATGGCATCTCGGAGCGTTGCTGGCCATTTCTCCAAGGCAATGCCGGCTCTGAAGTCCTCGAAGGTGTCACTCCTGAGAGTAAACTTGGCGATACCAGGTCCCCAGCAGTAGCTCAGTGCTGCCCAGGAGATGGTGCTTGGGGCTTCGTCCACCTCAATGTGAGGATCAATATTTCTCTTCCTTCCGACATTTATGAGCCTCGTGGGCCGGCGAAATGACCTTGCAGGGCCACATTCTGGGTGGTTATGGAGGCACTCTTGAAACCATTCCATTCCTGTCACCCGGCATAGTTCCGAGTCCGAGTGAGGGGCAACTGGCGTTCCTACAAACTTTGAAATTTTTCGAGCTACGGAGTCTAGAGGGTGTTAATCCTAAGCTTGAACAACTTAGCTAAACTCACGTCTTTCAGAAAAGACATCAAATGTGCACAAGGTACGAGATGATTGGCCATCTGGCCGTTGCGTGACAATGATGATAGGCATCTCGGCTTTGGAGACATTGTGACTACTCGTGCCAATAAACAATTGGCCTTGTCTAGCATCGTCAATCGCTTTGTCTACCGTCTCGGACCTCTCCGCACTTGTTGACCATGACTTGAAGATCAATCTGCAGAACGTGCAGCCAGTGTTCGCGGATGCTTTCAGGGCACCTAAGCTGCTTTGATGCTGGAAGAAATTGGGCAACCCAGGTTTGTATTCCAAGAAGTCGTAGAGAAGACCGGTCAGTACAGTTTCTTCTCTGGTTGATGGCTGAGCCTCAGATTGAGCGAGGAGTTCTTGGATATCGAGCTTCTGACAAACGTCGCAAAGATTTATCGACGCTGTGTGGGCATCGCAAGCACCCAAGGTTGATTTTTGAACCTCGATCAAGGGTATGGGGGGCATTTTCATTGTTCAATCGATTGATGTATATACAATGAGGATCGTGGAACGCGGGTGTTAATAGACGAGGCGGCGGCAGCAAAGTAAGCAAGCCAGTTTGCGGCGTGAGCTGAGCCACACAGAATCAGTGACTGACTGCATGAAGGTTAGTGGCCAAAATCGCCGAAGTGGATGTTGGTACCGAGGCCGATAGCGATGCTCCTGCCAAAACCCCGAAATGACATTGCATAATGTATTTGCGCACATCGCACTCGATACTAGAAAATCAAAATTTAATAATTAATGATTCTATTACTAATGCGTAATATCCAAGCCTCATTGGATATATTTAAGTCATTTTGGGCTAATTGGGTAAAGCAGATAGTATTGATTCTAAGAATAATTCAAGTTAATAGATTGTGGTAATGTGAAGCCTATTATTCACGTGACTTACTTCCCTTTTCTAATACCTCGCAATACTAGAAACCTGATAGATTTATTTAATATTAAATTAATAATAGAGATATATGTAATAGTAAATAATTCGTTCTATTTATATATTTCTTTAAGCCTTAGAAATACATATATTTCTAGGCTATAGATATTTAAATAGAAGTACTAGTTTATTTACTATTAAATCTAATTAGTTAAAATATATTAAGAATAAAATACTACTAATCTAGTTTTATAATACTAATATATATATATAAAATTAGTATAGAAAATTAAGGTAATAATTAATTCTTTACTTGCTATTAATCTTATTATTTCTAGTATCCCTATAAGTTTTTTATTCTTATACCGGAATATAGATAAAGAAAAAGAAAAAGAGAAAAAGAAAAGAAGATATATATATAGATTTAATAGAGTAATTACTATATATTAGAAATACTAATTTTTGGTAATTTTTAGGCAATTTTCGGGTATTTCTTATTTTATAGGCTTTTTATTTATATACCAAAATATAAATAAAGAGAATAAAAGAAAGAGAAGAAAAGAAAGAAATATCTATTTTTGAAAAAAGTAATTATTATATATAATAATTACTAATTTTTGGACGATTTTCCTATAATTTTTAATATTTCTTATTCTATTTCATTCTATTCTAATTAATATAAAAATATTACTAATTACTAGAAATTTGAAATTTTTATAGCATTTATTAACTAGCTATATAATAAGAATATTAGAGTTAATATATAATACAAATTATATATAGTCTAGAAATCAAGTTTATTTATATTAATTAGCCTTATTTTTCTAATACTAAAATACTAATCTTTAGTACTTTATAATAGTATAAATTTAGGAGCTAAATTTTAAAATAATATTAATAATAAAAATATATATAATAGTAAAAAATTATTCTATTTTTTAGTTTATTTAAATAAAATATATATATATATATATATATATTTCTATATTTAAGTATTCGGATAAAAGAACTATTTTATTTACTATTATATAGTTTATTATTATTATATCCGGATTTTTTATAGAAATTAAGAATATAATACTACTAATTCTACTTAATAATATAAAAGTATATATAAAATTAGTATAAAAAATAAAGATTTTAGCTATATTTATATTAGTAAAAATAGTTAATAGTAGTCTTTCTATTATAGGACTTCTAATTTAGTATTTTATATATTAAGAAAAGAAAAAAAAAAATAAAAAAAATAAAAAAATATATATAAATAAATAAATAAATAAATATAATAATAGAAGAATTATAGAAATATAAGATAAATTATATAATATTTATTTTATATTAATTATTTTCTTGCCCCGATTATTTAAAAACCTTTTTATATTACCTAATTTTTCTTTTTTATAACTATTTTCTTATTATTATATAACTTTAATATAAACTTTTAATATATTTCAAATAGAAATAATTTATTAAAAAATAATCCAGATTTAAGGCCTATACTAGCCGCCTTTATTTTCTATTTTTTTAATACCTTAATATCTTTTTTTAATATAATTATTATAGCTATTTATATGAATTAAGATAATTTTCCAATTAATAATAAAAGCAAACTTTAAGTTACTATTACTCGGATAAGCTATTTCTTTTATTAGATAATATATAGGGCTAATATAATTAGTTCTATATTTATAAAATAATAATAAAATAGAATAAGATTATTAGTATTAATTAAATACTTAAAAAACTTTTCAAGTTTCGAAACTATAATATAAACTATATAAATACTTGTCTAATTAGTAAAATACTATATAATTATCGAGTTTTTAAAGCTAATTTAATTTAATACTAGTAAGTTATTTAGTTAGTCTAGCTATAGAACTTTCCTAATTAGATTTAGTAGAATTTTATAAACTACTAACTTATATAAAAAGTATATAAATAAATAAGAAATTTTTATAAACTATATTAAGCTAAAGAATTATTATAATAGTATATATAATAATTATAAGAGGTAAGATAAGAAAGCTAATTATAAAATAAGAAATATAAATAAATATAAGTTTAGGTATATAAAGAAACTACTAGAAAAAATATATGAAATAGTAAAAGAAAAAAGAACTATAAAGCTAGTTAATTATAAACTAGCTAATAGAAGAAAGACTTAATAAATAAAGCCTAGTTATATAATAAATAGAAGAATTTTATATATTTAAAAATATCTAAAAATATAGCTTTTATATATAGAAAAACATATAGAATTTAGTTCTCTAATCTTAATTCTATAAAATAAACTAAAACTTTAGAAATAGCTAGTTAAGAATTAAATAAATAAATGAGTTCTAATTATAATAAAAAATCTAATTATTTCTTATAATTAATAGACTTAATAATACGTTTTATAGAAGTTATATAATAGAATTATTTAGGAGAAATAGGCTTAATTATTTCTATATACTAGTAAAGAGCAGGTATTTTCTAATATTTAGTATTAGTAGTAAGAGTAAAAATAAGTAATTAGATTAAAAGTAGTAAATAGTTATTAGGCTTTAGAAAGAAATTAGAAGATCTAGGAAATGGCTTTTTTAATATAGGTATATTAGATTCTAATAAGAATATAGAAATTAGATAATTAGATAAATCTATAATAGGCTTTTTTAAGGCAGGTTAATTTATAATTAAGTTAGAGTTTACTAATAAATCAGGATTTTAAATAAATATATATTAGAAGAAAAAAATAAAAGAAAAAATAAGTTTATATAATTATCTCAAATTCTATTTAAGAATTAATAATAATAAAAGAACTAGAAGTTTTATATTCTAGTTTATTTATTCTAAAAATTATTTCAGAAGTTTTATTTTCTGAAATAACTAATTATATCCCGAAGTTTATAATAAAGAAATTAATAGAATTAAGAATATAACTAAGCTAAATTAGCTCTTTATATTTAGTATAATTAAGTATTTTAAAAGTATTATAGTCGGATATATTACTTAATATTTATATAGTAATACTTGCTTTAAATCCCCGAATACTAATAAATAATAGCTTAAGGCTATAAATATATTTCCTAACTAATTAAACTATTAATAGAGTAATATTATAGAACTCGGAATTCTTTTTATTACTAGAATAAAACTCAAATTTTTTCTTTTAAAACTAGAAAATAATATAATTATTATATTATAAATAATTATAAAATTAGTATTCTTTAAATATTAGCTAAATATATTTTAATATAAATTCTTTAATAAAGGAAATAGTATAGTTTTAGAAATAGTAAATGTATTTGGCTATAAATATTAGTAATTATATAATATAAGAAAGAAAAAGAAATATATTTACTAGCTTTCTTATATTTTAATTATATTTTAATATTTTTCTAATAAATATCTAGTAATATATATTCGAACTTATATATAATCTAATATATTAGAAACTTCTCTAATATTAATTATATTTTACTTTTTTTTCTTTTTTTACTAGAGTTATTTATTAGTTATATTAAGGCTATAGAAGTAATAAAAAATAGTTCTATAAAATTACTTATATATTAAGAAATAAAAAGTTATTATAAATAGTAAGAAATAGTAATTTTATATAAATAATTATTTAATTAAAAGCTTATAAAAAGCCTCTGGATTTAGCTAAATAATAGAAAGCTATTAAGTAAATAAAGCTAAGCTCTCTAGTACTTGTATCTATATAATATATTTTCTAGAGGCTTTTAATTTTATATATAAAGGAAATAGCTAATAAAGTATTTCTATAAAATACCTCTAGCCAAAAAGAAGTATATATATAGTTTATTTACCCTAATTGAGAGCTAAGAAACCGTTATTCCCTAGCGCCTCATATTAAGCTAATAGAACTAAAAAGAATAGGAAATAAAGTATTTCTAGCTATCTCTAGTAGTATATTTAGTTTCAAAAAAGCCTAGCTCTAGTCCCGGACGGCTCTATAAGCCCAAAGCCAGGAAACTATATTATATATACTATTAGTACTCAAAGTCTCTTAATAACTTTGTTTCCTTAATCTAATCTTTTTTTTTAAGCTACCTATATAGCTTCTTATATCTCTTTACTAAGCGTTTTTATATAGCCTTTAATTACTTGTCTATAGGATATAAATCAAGTTTCCTAGTATAGGAATTAGTAGTTATAAGCTCTAAAATAAAGTAATTAACGGGTTTCTATAAGTGCTTTTCTATTCTTGTTTTTTTATAAGAATATAAGTAGCTTTATAAATCGGATTATTTATTAAGAGAAATATAGATCCCAAATAAAGAGTATTACTCGTTTTACTAAATTAAGGCCTTAAAGATTCTTTTGTATTACTCGAGTATATAAATAGGCTCTCCAAGTATATTAGCCTCAATTACTAAAGCAAGTTACTATATTCTCTAAATAGGTAGAAACTTAATAGTTACTACTTAAAGGAAATCCTTAATTACCAGGAATTCTTTAACTTCTGTAACTTAGTAGATTTGAGCTTATATAAGAGCTTGGTACTAATTATTAATCCAGGCTTTAGAAGCTTCTGAATCTATTCTACTATAGTCTAGAATTCTCTTATTATTCTCTTTTACTTATTTCTGAATATTATTTTCTAATAGCTAGAATTTAT